CAGGGGGGGAGCTTACATTGAGTACTGGTTAATGGCCCATCGTCGTTAGGATCCTCAGCGATGATCACCAATTCGGTCAAGATTTATTGTTCTATCGCCCCACGTAAATGTCATCATCGCTGCTTTAATGCTCCTCAGTGCCATTTGAGAGAGGCCTGTTGTCTCTACTACATACCCTATTGCAGCTGTCTTCCCAATGATTGAGGCGGTTGGCATGAGTCCACCTCTTACCAACTGCAACTTTTCATACTGCCTTTGTCAGTGGGGATCGAAGATGTGACCTAGACCATCTTTAAGATGTTCAAAATTATAACGATGACTCCGGCTCGCATATTGACAGAGCAGCAAATGGTCCGGCTTTGTCTCCCGGTTAACTCACGACTATCTCAATAAATTCAATAATCACGCCGCATACAACATCCAAGTACGTATTGCTGATCATAAAGATGCACTCTACAAGCTCCAGTAATGGCAGTACACAACAACGGCTTCATTGGACGCAGCGAATCGCTCTTGTGAGGCACAATCTACACTCCGCTCGAAGGACAAACGACTTCACCTTCTTCAAGTCTCTTCAGGCGCACGCTCTTTTAGAGGGTACTGATCACGTCGCACTTCTTCAGTACAGTCTCGGTGACCAGGCCGATTCTGTGCTTTCCACACTCGACAATCTCAACGCAGGAATAGCTTATGTCCATCAAGATGCCTTCAAAGCTGTCTATGATGGAGCAAAAGCTGCCATTCACGCCGACGATAGAACCAACCGACGATCGCTGCTCCACGTGGACATCTGCCAGCAGCGTGATATGGCCGATCTCGCCATCGACAAGACCACGAATTCGGCTGTCAATCTGATCCAATCCCAGCCTATTCCTTGCCAAGATGCAGTTGCCAATGCTTGGATCACAGGCACAACCATCATTGCCGATGCTGTTTGTGTTTGTTTGAACGAAATGAATCAAATGGAGCATAATATGGATGACTTTATACTGCTCGAATACTCCTGGAACCTGATCCAATCTTCCGTGGATTCAGCCATATCGGCGCTTCGCGGCATTTTCAGCCTTATGGCTGTGCCAAACACCAGCAACAACAATTTTCCCTTGTTAATTGGGCGAAACATGAGCACCTCATCAGCCGGATCAGAGCACAATAATGCAAGCACACGAAGTCGCAACTCTTCTACAGCCTCTGCGTTCAGTTTCATCAAACGAGCCTTGAGCCATGGTCAAATCCAGCCACCTCAATTCAAGAACCCGCGTACTGGCTCCGTTTCCCTCTCGGTTGCTTCTCCAGAGGCCAATTCTAGAGGCTTCCGCGCAAGCATTAGTGCTGCTTGCCCGACGAAGATGTCGACTTTCGGATCCCATCCGCATACGGTTCTGACCACAATCCCACCGACACCGTCTGTGCACGATGTCGGTAGCATCAGCGTGGGCGGCAACGTGAACGGGCTTCTCAGTCCCTTCATGCAGAATGGCGACTACTTTCCTTTTGACATGGGGAAGCAATCGGAGAAGGATGACAAAGAGAGCAGTGCTATCGATGATCTGATGAATCTGTGAGTTCTCCTATTCCTTCTTCTTGTTAACTAAAGCTGAAATGGTCTTCGTAGTGGAAATATGGACGAAGAACATCTCGACGACGAAGATCTTGACCCTCTATCACCAGCGCCGATGAGCGAATCCATCCAGATGCCTGCCCCACTGACGTTGAGAACACTCTCTGACTCATTCGAAATGTCTCCTGCTACTCCAATCGCTGTATGATCGTTGTTTGATCCTTCTAAAAAAACACCAATAACTCCTCGTACAATCACATGTTGAAGGCAAATTGTGGTTCTTGTGGATTTCGATCTTTCATCATTTATTGTTAACAATACTTATTGTTTGAAGATAATAGTTTGACTGATTGTCATTGTCCGTCATTGATGCTCATTTCGCGCAAAACACAAGAGTTTTTTCCCGTTTAGCACATCGTCCCTTGTGACGTCAGTCACCGCTGCTGGGTATCAATCACAACATTATTTGGTCAAAATGAATCGCCACGAAGCACTTGAGTGATGCTGAGGATGCTTTTGAAACTCTTTATATGATAAGACATCTGAATGAGTCATACAGGAACCTGCGCCTCGACTATAGCCCACTGTCTGATACCAAAGAACCAGGAATCCATGATCAGACACCTTGCAAAGTTTCACACATTACATACACAGCTCGAAAGCTATTAACAGGATCAGTTTCACATCTATATTTTAATACTCTTATCTATTCAATGCTCTCTTCCGGAGTTCGTGTTGTTGGTATCAGTACCGTAGTCGCGACAACACACCGTCACCACCACGCTAAGCCTTTGCGTTTGCAAACGCCTTTCCCCAGCCACCGCGCTCCTGCCTAATGTATTCTGTTTATTATTGTAACTTCATGCAATAATAACTTACTGAGCACGGGCGCCCGCAGCAGCAACGTAAATATCGTCCACCGCGCGGCTCAAACCTTCGCCTTCACACTGCACGACAGCTCAGCTTTTTTCCAAAACCACTAATACAGCTTCCGCTTTCCACCGACTTCAAGTCACAGTCTTCTTCCGACTACAATTCACTTCACTTTAACGACATCAAGTCACTCCTTCAGCCTTTTCCGACCACAGGACACTTCAACTTCTCACCGACAACAAGTCACCACCATCACCACGACCAAAACCAAACATCACGAAGGACTGCCCATCATGTCTTTCATGTCTTTGATCAACTTCATCTTGTTCGTCATTTACAACCTATTCTACTCCTTGTTCCTTTCCGTCAAGCTCCCCGTTGTCGGCGTTGTAGCCGTGTTGCGGTTGATCATTGAGGTACACTCTGACCTCAACATCTTCATCCACCACTACATTTACACAATCTTCCGCAACGCCCTCTTCTCCCAGCCATACGAGGCCCACGAGATGCTTAGTGAAAACTATGGCAGAAATCTCACGGTGCTCTCTCTCCTCTTCCTTCTCCTCTCCTATCGCGTCTTCCTTTGGGCCATCTCACAGCAGTGGACCCAGGAAAAGGTTGACGTCGGTATCATTGCTGGTCATAGCAGTGTCTCGCCTGCTGGTCATAGCAGTCTCTCTCCTGAAGTAGCCGACACCCCTACTTATACCATCCCGACCTTCGAGCACTTCACCGGCACGGGCGACTCCTTCCTCCCACACCTCCAATCCGATCCAAATGTGGACTGGACGACATACAAGTTCCACAAGGACACATTCCTGAACGAAGAGGTCGAAGCCCAGTACGGCTTCTCACGCAAGTGGGACAAGTACAAGGGCAACCACTGGGTGTACAAGGCACCCACGGCCGACCAAAGGCCCTCGATAGAGGCGCCGGTCGAGCCTCAGCCCGTTGTCCAGGCAGCACAGCAGCATCACGAAGCTGTTCAGGTCGCGGCTCCGCCCCCCCTCCTCGCTCTCCCGCCTCCTCCTCCCGCCCTCCTCACTCCTCCTCCTCCCGCCCTCCTCACTCCTCCTCCTCCTGTCGCCCTCCTTGCGCCGCCGGTTGCGCTTGCTCCGAGCGTCGAGGCATACCAGCCTCCTCCTCCTCCCCCCTCCTTCGAGATGGTCTGCGCCGCCATGGCTCGCGAGACGGATGGGCTGAAAGATGCCATCACCGAATTCCTCACCACGGTGAACGCGTCTGGAGACCCATCCGAGGTAATGGAGGTCCTGGGTACAAGCCTCGAGGTAGCATACGGGGCCTTGTGGGTGCACCGCACCCAACTTACATTGGATGAGTCCAGGCAGACAGGATGGCTTGGGTACTTGGAGGAATACTATGCTGTCGTCCTTCCGAATGCGTACTGGCTGGTGAGCACGCACAAGAATGGAGACATGCTGGTGTTCCTCCAAGGACTCCTTGCCTTCGGGCGATTTCTGGGTGTGGTGCTCCCAGATCTTGACCTGTCGCCGCCTCCTCCTCCCCAACCTTCTGCCGACTCCGCCTCCGCCGCCCCCATGCCTCCTCTCGCTCCTGCCCCCACCCCGGCTCCTGACTTCGATCCTTTCCCGGGTCCTGTGCCCGACCCTGTCCACGCATCAGCACCAACACCAGCTCCCGCTCCCGCTCCCACCCAGGCTCCACCGAGTTTCTCCTCCTCGGGCATCAAGCCCGCCTCGTATCGAGCGTCGGCAGCAACATCACGCAACTCCCGCTCCGCCGGGCAGCGCAGGCCTGCCGGCGTGGTAAAGCGGACAGTGAGCGAGCGGCCGATTGGCGCCCAGCCGACTTACGCGGATCCGCCTCAGCTGGGGCAGCAACCAGGCAAGAAGGTGTTGGACTTCGACGACCTTGAGGCCTGGAAGGACCTGGACCAGGAGGAGCTTACTGGGCTCACCGTGGAGTCGTTCGGCTGGTCCGACGACAATACGACCAGCAGGCGCCTCTGGAAGTTCACGTCCGGAAGGGATCTCCTGGTCGGGGGCTCCTGGTCGAACGGCTTCACAGCCGACTCGCTCCTCGAGGACATCGACGGGAAGGTTGGCCCGCTCAAGCGAGCAGCGTGGGTGCTGAAGTGGCAGGCGCAAGCCCCCTTCAACTGGCAGGGTGAATCAGATACCGCACCCACTCTGCTCACTGAGGTGACCACCTTCTTGTACGATGCAGGACAGAAGATCGACTGGGTTTCGGCGCGGAAAACTCTCCAGGACGCGGACGATTTCATGGACTTCGTCCGCTTCCACTGGAACTTTCTGGGGCGCCAGGCCAATCTGAGGGAGAATCTCGCGGGGCAGTACAATGCCGCCGCTGTTGAGAAGTGGCTGTTGCGGGCCCGAGAGATGAAGAAGAAGGTGACCCCCCCGAAGTAGGTGGTGGCCTACTAGAGGGGAGTGGTGCACAACCCCAGGATGAGCTCTCAGGCCACGACTGTCCACAATCAGCTCAAGGCCTCCGTCCAAGATCAAAGCGCTACCCTCCACATATCATCTCCACACCATCACCTCCCCATCACCTCTCTTCAGTTCGCTTGGGCACCTCTGAGCCCTGTAGCTCCGCCGCAAACTGTCGATCTCCGGTAACTTCAACTGGGACGACAGGGCTCGCCAACTCCGAAGGTCGTCTGGGATCATGGCCCATAGCTGGATCACCTCCTAGCTCTGCAGGATCCTGAGTTCGATAAGCATAAATCTCAGCTTTCTTTGCGCTTTCTTCATCAGGTGTGTGCGCTCGGGCCGTGGAAGCTAACGCAGCCTTTACCTGGCGAGCTCGACTCCGCTTCCGACGTATGAAGAACCAGGCGGCCAAGAGCATCAGTAAGACAGCGAGGACAACGCCCACTGCGATTCCCGCCGTTGCACCAGAACTCAGACCATCGTCACCGTTTGTTGGTTCATTCCCTGCTACTAATGTATCGTTACCTGGTGCTACTGGATTCTGAGCATCACCAGAAGGCCGACTGTCTGCAAGACTAGTCACAGGGCTTGATGGAAGAGTGCCTGCTGAGTTGGTCCCTGGTGGTGGTGGAGAGGCTGTGGTTGCCAGTGTGGTAGGCGCCGGTTGAGCCGGTGGTGGAGGATTTGTTGGTCCTGGTGTTGGAGCAGGGGGTGCTGGGGTCTGATCATCGTCGTCATCGTCGTTGCCGCCGTTGTTATTGTTGTTGTTGTTATCATCATCGTCTGGCTGTGTAGGCACAGGAGCACTGGGCACAGGAATACTGGAGACCGGGCTAGCCATGTTGAGTACAATGGGTTGTCTATAACGAGTTTGAGTTTGCTGGAATAGTGTTTGACTACTGGTGATGGCTAGGGTTCTCGGTGATGCTCGTATGAATGAGATAAGACCAAGATGGGCATAAAAATATGTCGCGCAAGATTGGGGCAGTGTTGAGCGACATCAAGCTCTTAACAATCCGGCCCAAGCTCGACCATGCGATTAATGGCAATGTCTCAGAGTAGCGTACCGTGCCGTGATCTTCACTTTTCCACGTTGTCGTTCAAGGATCGGCAAAGTCGCGGCGCTTTGATATCATTCGATGTTGGCACGGATAGCGTGTCTTGTCACAGACTCAGCCTCTTTGTATTCGACTTCCAGCACTACCGTCGGCTTGGCGAACGTGGCTTGCTGATTCCGGATGGTGGAGCGGGGGTCCCAATTTCTTAAGGCCAAGTACCCAGACGTTTCTGGCCGAAAGTCGTCGTGTCGGTTGGGGCTTCGCTGGCCCTATGGTGCGCCAAGTTGTTGTCACTGCCATGACTTGAAATGAGCCATGGCAATCGCTCTACAGAAAGTCAAGGCATACCTCGGAGCAGACAGCCACTTCCGTCATCTGGTCTTGACGTCCTGCTCAGCTATTCTAATGTGTCCAGCGATGGCAACCTCTGGCTCCATACTACCGAGAACAGCACAGCATCGCTGGATGGCTATCAAGCGAATCAAGTGAGAGGAAGCAGACTTGGCACTGACTCGGAAGCTGGTTCTTTTGACACCAAACGACATGTATAGCGACCGCATCTCCCATCGAACCACCACGGCCCAACTTCGCACGTACTCCTCCCGCTATCGAGGTTCTCATCTAAATTTTCCTTATACCCGGTTTCTGCTCTTACTTTTACCTCCGAATTCCATCGGCAGTCATCCGAAACCATGCACCATGGCTATGATGTCGGAAGCACAGGGAGTAAAGCCTGATTCTTCAGGTACAGTGCAGACAATCAGTCAACCGCATGCAAATACCAATAGGTAACCACGCGTCCATCCAGACGTCTTCGCCATGGCTGTAGCGGAAGCATAGGACATCCAGAGTCATGCAAGACCGAGCAAAGGTGCCGAGTGTCGCAATGGAGCGGTGTAAATGGCGAAGAGGATTCTAAAGGCGAATCAGACGTTTGCTTGGGAGGCTGTAATGGGGCAGGCTGGGTGTATACTACCTATGTAGGTACTCCAACGGACGAGACCAGATCATCCTACGAACGGGTTACATGGGGTGGGGGGGGGGGGGGAAATGAGAGCTAAGAGTAACTAAGCCGTTGAGTTCCCTAGAGCTTCCAAGGTTACATGAAAATGTTCCGAGGTTGCCGAAGTCTGTGCGTCCAGCGTCCAGGTTTCCGACAGGTGGTGCAATATGGGTGAACACGCGACACGCATTGCACGCAATCCAACCCAACGTCGCACCACCACGTATCTGCAGGAACACTCATAGACTTGCGTCACCTGCATGTTGAAGCCTCGATACTGAAACCACAATAGAATACCTAGGTGCCATGGGCCGAGTAACCCAGTCCGCAAAGCAGAGAAGGAGGAGTTGACAAGGCTGCTGCACACCAGAATCGGCCATCTCTACAATTCGCCATTTTGCGCCAGTCATGTTTATCAAAAAGTATGGACTGATGCTTGGAATCCCAGAAACAAATTTCGAAAAAATGTCCTCTTGGCATTGATATTCCTTGTCACGTGTGCTTTACCCGTTGACGATTCTGGGATTAGTGAACGTGCGTGGGGACTACAGTTCATGCCAGTCAAATAAACTACCGTAGGTACCGTCTAGGAGATCCCATGCTGCCCAGACATGCGCTGCAAGGCACAGCCAATGTTGAAATATATATATCGCCGTACTGTTCTGGATTCCTACGATACATGTCTACACAACAGATTCCGATACTGTACGATCTGCGACGTCCATGCTGCACATCATGCGGGTCTCATCCTCCAAGACCGGATGCTTGGGTACCATCATGTTTCACTTGCAAGTTCACACCTACCAGCTTGTCCTGCATTGCCTCCGCGAGATTGCGTGAGACCCAAAGCTTATATCGATTACGTTCTATTCAGTGACAGGCACTCCCTCGATTTCCTTGCCGTATGTGCGGGGGCTCTGTGGAACCGTTGGTGCATCGGCTGTAGATATTTCGACCACTGAACGGCTGAGAGCTCTGATGGCCCATCGCTGTTAAGGTTATTGGTAGAACCATCAAGGTTGCACGTACTATATCTGATCAGGACGACATAGAGGCTGAACGAGCAAGACTCTAACCGCCAGCCACCCGCCACGTTCCAGCCACATACATCTTCTGTCAACGTCTTATGCCGGACTCGCCCTGTCTTTGCATCCTGAAGTCCTGGATCATGCCCATAGAGATCAAAAATACGCTCTACATTCGAAAATATCACTTTAGCCTAAGGACTCTGTCAACACCAAGTCAACACCAAAGCGGCAAGATATTTTCTTGGAAGAGTTGCATTTTGTCAATTGTTGGCCTGAGCATCTTTAAGAGAGGCTTTGCAGGCGCGATTTAGGCCAGACGTTGCCTTAAGGCTGGTACAATGTCTTGTATCAAACAGTATTCTTACATCTGCCATATGGTACATGTTTGCGTGATAGCACTGGACATCGTGAGCCATGGATCATAGGTAAGAATTGATCAAAGACCCCCCTTTCTTTAGTTGACTTCAGCTAATAGCCCCCAGGAGTACTCTTTCCCATCGTCCAGTGTTCTCTTGTCACTGCTGCATGCGATTTCACCATCACTCGTAATGCATCGGACATACCCTCTGAATCCACGCATGTTGTGCTATGAACGCTTTGGCCGATATTCTGTTATGTATTCTACGTATGCCCAATCTTTGAGATCTGGTCCTCTCACTCAAATAGCGTCTCATTCTCTATGCGCTTTTACATGAGGCACAATGTAAGATACAGACATGGAAGCGTCGATATCAAATACCGCTGAACACTCCCAGTACCTGTGTTGTGGCCACCATTCGCTTCGATATCTCCGCAGTCTGCATCCTTCTAGCCATCGTCTGTATGCCGATTCATCGTGTTATAAAAGAATCAGACTACTACATGTCTAGGATCCCAGCTAATTTACTGTTTGCGCGTGAGTCCACGACACTTTACGTTTCGCAGTGATAAAGGATGTATTCAGCACTAACGTTGCATAGATCAGAGCGTACACATCCTGAATCTTTTGTTGACTACGAAGTGTACTCTCTCATGATGCATCATTTAGCGTCAGCATATCGGCTCTTCGTCGTACTTCTCAGCTGTCTTTACCATCAGCCACATGGGGCTCAGGCGTGCTCGTTCGCTCAGACTCATTTCCCGTGCGAACAGTTTCTTTCCCAAACAATCAAAATATCATGCTCAAGGCCCACAACACATTGCTCATCACTGAGCTGACTGGCGACACGAGATTCGGTGCGATCATTCTGAGTTAATATCCACTCCATCACAGTGTATCTCCCTAGAACCCACGTTTTGCCCGAACATCTTCAAGCCATTCGTTTCAGGCCTCCCACTCATTCCCGCTGCTTACACCGAAGCGACTCGTCACACTAGCTCGCTCGGCGACAGCGAGGATTGCATAATGTCAATTTGCAACCTAGCAAGAAGCTATTATACAGGAGTAGCCCATCAACATGATCTGCACACAGATGCAGATTCTGTAGCAAATTTGCCTCCCCTATATACTATATGCTGGATGGCTACAAGCTCTGATCGGTAGCCGGGAGATTGCTTGTTCAGCTGACCGCCGAGGAAGCCAAGACAGCAGCCACCAAACCAACAACCCACAGTGATTGGTCCAACTCGACGACGTCACCATAGTTTTTTCAGCCTTAACAGGTTTATCAGCCAGGCTGTGTAAGGCTTCCAACGAACTGGGGAAAGGCGGTGCAATACTAGAGTGTGTGAATGTGGATGGGGTATCTCACCGCTTGAATGCCAGCATAGCATACTACCATATGTATATAAGACTTGAGTCTGTGGTTTCTGGGTAGGCTTTGCACTTCAAACCACAAACACCACTTTCCATCTCATATCAAACGAGTCAGTTCATACCAAATATACAAACATAAAAACACCCACATCCATCCACCCTACCCCAACAACTCCACCAGTGCCACCCACCCACAATCATCCACAAATCCCACATCATGAAACCCACCACAACCACCACAACCGCAACAACCCTCCTCCTCCTCGCCACCCTCACCCTCGCCAACCCAGCAGCACCCGCCCCCCAACCAAACCCTCAAATCGCACCACCCCTCGACATCGCAGCCCGCGACGCTGCTATCCTTGAGAGCATCCAACTCGAGGCGCGCGCAAAGAAGCCCAAGCCGGGGAGCAGCGAGGGCGGTAACGGAAATAGTTCGAATAGCACGGGCGCGGCGGTTATGATGACGACAAGTCGGGCGCTGCAGGTGGGTGCGTTGGGGTTGGGGGTTGTGGAGGTGGTGAGGTTGTGGGGTTAGATTTGGGAGGGAGTGTGGGGAGGAGGAGAGGGGGTGGGTGTATGGGGAAAAGATATGGAGGTGGCAATGTATGCATCGCGGACCTGAGTTCGGGTTGATTTTCCACTTTGGGTGTATTGGGGAGGGGGCTATACAGATTGCCCCGATGCCAAACACGAGTTGTAGCTACATCTAAAGACAGCCATTTCGGAATTCCACTCTCTCCGTAAGTCCACCCGCTTCTCACATACCATGCCGTCTACCTGGGCGAAAAGATAATCCTGATTCCTAACATAGCCTTGCCACTCGCGTTCCAATCGCTGTAACGGTGGGTAGGTATGTGGTCGTTGTGTTGCTGTATTCTACCGTAGGATGGTGGACTGGGTTCATGGGACTAGCAGGTACACAGCCACATTGCCTTGGAGCGCGCTAAACGGTGTTCACTTGGAGCATACTGTAGTCTGTACTAAAGCTTGTACGCTATCTACAAGGGGAAGGTGGGTAGATTCGTATTGACGGTCCAGTGAGCGTGGAGGCGATGTGCTCGGCAGACTCTAGTTCGTAGCAAGCCAGTCCAATGCAAGATTGGTGTGTAATGTCGTTTTATGGCAGTGATGAACTGTTTGCTGGATCGGTTGCGTTGCGTGCATGGGTGCTGGTGTGGTTCATGGCTGGATGATTTACAATTGTGGTGAGAACAGACTAATGAGTTGGGCTTTGCTGCAAGTCTTGCTACAACCTTAATATGTGCGGAGCGTTTTCCGAGAACTGCCGGGAACTGGTATGCGAGTACCGATACACCCATAGCCCCTGAACTCATAATCCAGGCGCAGAGAAATACGGCTTAAAAGTCTTAAAACGCTCAACACGCGGCAATCAAGAGGAAGTGATTTTGTGGAAACCATGAATTAAGAACTACTCATTCATCCAACATTTTCCAACGCGGACTTCGCCCTGAGACAAAACGCCCAATAAACGCAACAGTATCTTGTGCGGCGATCCAATGCCAATCTATACACAAGACCTCAAAGTGCTCATTCACAGCTGGTTACTATACATAAAGTACAACATGCAAGCCATGCAGTTGGGCCAGGAACCCCCAAACGCAGCTCCTAAGCAGCAGCAGCCGTGGCGGGAGCCTCAGCAGTAGGATTGACGTCGGAGCAAATCAGAGCCTGTCCGAGGATGGGAATCAAGCAGCACTTGGCCTGCTGGCCGCCCTCGGCGCAAGTGTCGATGAACTCGTTGATGGCGGTCGGGGTGATGGCAGCTAGTGGATTGTTAGAAATAGGTGGTGAAAATGTGGGAGGCAGAAGAGACGTACGAGGAGCACAGTCGAGGTTGGCAAGTTGGAGGACGTCGGTTGCACAACAGACTGGGGTGCCCGAGGAGCAGAGACCGGCCTGGCGTTCGACGACTGCGGGGACGGCGAAGGCAGTGGCGGCAAAAGCGGCAATGGTAGCGGTGGTGAATTGCATGGCGAAGGTTGTTGAGTAGTTCTTTGGATAGATTGGAATTGAAGGTGGATGGATTCTTGGTTGATGAAGTGAGTTGATAGTGTTGGATAATGTTCAGTTTGAGACGTCCTCGCTCTCCTTCTTATACACTCTTGAGATTGTTAGTTCAGGGATAGATTCAAGGTATTGAGGCTTGCCTGCTTGAGAAGTGACTTGACCTTCGTCATGGAGCCATTGCTTCGAGAAGCCAGATCGTCATCGTGTCCGGGGTTCAGCACTCAGGCACATTCCTCAGTGGATCTGTGGGGTTCCGGAGCCAATCTCTAATCCCAATGCCCTCCGGCAACTCTTTCCTACGGTAAAAAGTGACGTCGATCATGTGTGTTCAGCTTCAACAGTCTTCAAGGAAAAGCATTGACTGGCTACACTAGGAATGCCAGACCATTGAAGTTGTTGATCTTGAAACCTGACGGCTACTCTGACCATTAACAAGGAGTACTGACATGGTCCACGGCTAGATCTATCCCGGCGGTCAACCTCTTCATGGTAATAATGAGACACACTTGGACTTACTGGTAGATCCGCTCGCCCAGTGTCGTCGGCTGGTAAAAGCATTGGCACGCACATCTACCACGGAAAAGTTCGGCTTTGACGCTTCATGCAGGTTGCTTCCACAAGATCAAACACATTGTGATGGCTTGGACAAGCCACAAATTCACAATCTTAAGAGCCTCCTGAGTTGGTGACGTCGATTAGACTGGGGTGGCCGTGAACCGAGCTCTTCGTGCAGACATGGCATGAATGCTCATCTCCGCCAATGAAGCAGTCCCGGTCCCAGAAACGTACACAGTATGCCCTGTAAATAGACCAGCCACGATACCGCGAACCATGGCAACGGCTTGGTGGGCCAGCTTCGCAATGCAACGTTTGATTTCAGATGTTCTTGCTACAGCCAATCATACAAGACTTTTCCATCGTACAGCCACAGTGATATTCAAAGATCGACTTGTAATGCTTGAGGATCTCGGGTCCACTCCAGCACAACGGCCCATCTCAACAAGTTTCTTTCTTGAGAACGCGTCAAGCCATCTGCAAAAGACGACAGAAACTTGCGACAGTGATATTATCATGCTGCAACGTTCTTGCACCTCGTGGGTGACGGTGAGGAAAATGATTGATGCCTCAGTACAGTTCGATTTTGCCGAAAAGCGCAGTAAGGAGCACACAGTCTGGAACGAATAGAAAGCCTAGCCCTTACTTTTAGACGTAAGCGACGCCTTGAAAAAACCTTGGTGATGGCTTGCTAAGCGATCGATATAGCACAAGGATCCGTGTATGGGGTACGTCGTCACCTCTTGTGTAAGGCGGGTATTCTTGGAATCCTCCCATATCCACCAGTTTGGTGCAGTAATGACCTTGACGTTCCACTTCCACGCAGCAAAACGTCTGTAAAGCGGGTTCCAGGCGAACGAACGAACGTTTGGTCTACTACACCTGAGGAATGGGAAGATGCGTGCCTGTCTCAAGTGCCGTTGACAAGGAAGAAGAGCGGAACGTTGGAGGCGAGCCTACCTGCGGTTGCGCCACAAACATCTCCCCACTCGGGCGCCTCTTCCCCCATTCAGGCACGACAGCCGGCTCCAAGACGGCCGCTTCTGACGTCACCTTATCCCCTGAGCTTGACACCGCAGCAAGTTCTCTCGAAAACGCGACATCATTCAGTTCCAAGCAAGTCCAATGATTTGTTGAGATCATGTTTACCATGGGCGAATACTTGCCTCTGTAGTACGGAAATCCCGCATAAGCGAACACTGTTTTACCACGTAGAGTGGTCCACGCGAAACGGCTATCCCAGTTGTGTTGAACAAGGCCCAGGAGCCTAGAGCCCTTCACACTAGCTGTTATCCATTGCCGAGTGCTACGCCTTGGCCTAGGCGTGCCTTGCTGGGAGATGCACAGGATCAATAAACAATGCTGGGCTTCACAGAACTGAGTCCGAGAAGGTTGAATCGGATGTTGCTGGTGTTAAAGTTTTGCCATGATGCTGAAATGATGCAAAGAACAGGGGATTCCAAAATCATAATGGCCAAGTAGTAGGGAAATATTGCCAAGTCACCGTCTGCTGAGATGATGCAGAAAACCAGAAGATTCCATCATCATGATAGTCAAGTAGCAGGGAATTACCGTCAAGTCACCGTCTGCTCACATGTGACACATATAGAATGAGAGAGAGAGAAGGGTATATAGACATTTATACAAGCTCTACCCACCTAGCCGAACAGCTCCCATCTTGGTATCAATCGACATAGAACCCACACTCCCACCATAGAACCCGCCTCCACCACATTACCCACCACCCAGCCCAACAAAACCCCTCAACACTCCAGCACTCCATCCTAGTCATATGCCCACCAATATACAAGGGCTGAACCACATCGACCCTCTCTCAAACACTCCATAACGTCATGCCACGTGCACAGCAAAAAGCGTCGAGTAAGCATAAGAGAAAGAATATTAAAATTTGTGGTATCCAGAGCAGCCCAAAGAAACCCGCACAGCACAAAAGCCAGTGGGTAAAGAAACGCAGACTGATGCAAACGCCATGCCAAAAATGCCTCGCCCACGCTATGCCTCGCGAATAATGAATGCAAGTAAGAAAGCACTTTTTTTCTCGCGACTCTCCTTCTCTCTCTGTATCTCCGTGCCTCAGCCATAAACCCATTGCGTCACAACATCCCATTCCATTACTGCCTCAGAATCTTATTCCTAAACCTCTGCCACGACGAGCTCGCCGAGCTTTCCTCCCACGACTCGGCAATCTCCTCTTCAAACTTGCCCGTCAGAATATCCGCCTGCGCAGGCTTGATGAAAGCCGTGCGCTTGACAATCTTGTGGCCCGTGTACAAGACAACAAAGAGGATGAGACTGACGTAGGCGATGAAGAAGTCCTCGACGTTCCAGGGGACAAACGCCGTGAAGCCCTGGGTGAGGGTGATGATGGCGCAAAAGGAGAGGCCGTAGATGGCGAGGGGGCTGCCGCCCCAGGACTTGAACGGGAGGGTGTCGCGGCTGATGTTTTGGGCCTTTAGCGCGCGCATAAAGCACAGGTGGCAGATGCAGATGCAGGACCAGGCGATGAAGCCGGCGACAGAGATGATGTTGAGAAGCCAGTTGAAGGCTTCGCCGCCATTGCTCGAGAGGTTCATGTAGGCGAGGAGGCCCATGGCGGCGGTAATGGCGGTGGCAATGTAGGGGACACCGCGTTTGGTGGTGCGTTTACAGAATGCGGGCGCGCAGTGTTCCTCTGCGAGACCAACGAGGATACGGCTTCCAGAGTAGACGTTGGAGCTGGCGGCGGAAAGAACGACGGTGAGGAGGATGGCGTTCATGATGTCTGGAAGAGCGGAGACGCCCGCCATTTGGATGGCAATGACAAGGGGGCTGGATCCCGCGTTCGTGTCACCCACCTGGAGTGATTCGAGATTGTAGGGCACAAGGATGCCAATGAAGAAGATGGTTCCCACGAAGAGCGAGAAGATGGACCAGAAGGTGCGCTTGATGGCTCGGGGCATCGTCACTCGAGGATTCGCAGACTCGCCGGCCCCAATGGCGCATAATTCTGTGCCCTGATAAGCGAACCCCGCCTGTATTAATACGGCCCAAAAGCCGACAAATTTGGCCACTCCAGGGCTCTCTGCGAGATAAGGAGCAAAGGCGCCGGGTTCATTCCAGTACTTGAAGCCAAGGTAGCCTTGGACGCCAACACCAGCGTTCACGCAGATGGCGAAGATCCAAAACCCAACCAGAGCGACAACCTTGATCAACGCGAACCAAAACTCGAATTCACCAAAGATATCCACAGGCAGGAAGTTGACGGCCGTAATGGGAACCCAGAAGATGGTGATGAAGATGCCGATACTGAGGTCTGAATTCCACCATTGGATGATGAGGCCCGCGGCAGTGAGTTCGAGCGCATACGTAATCGACCAGGAGAACCAGTAGATCCATCCCATGGCAAAGCCAAGACTGGGATCAACAAAGCGGGCGGCGTATTGTGTGAATGCTCCGGCTACGGGGAGGTAGGTGGCCATCTCAGCCAAACTGAGCATGACCGAGTACACGAGCGTTCCGACGAAGATGTATGCGAGGAGAGCGCCGACAGGGCCAGCGGTTGCAATCGAACCCCCTGATGCGATGAAGACTCCAGTGCCAACGGTACCGCCAATGGCGACGAATTGGAGATGCCTTGCCGACAGCTTGCGGTGCAGCTGGTCGTTCTGGGGCGTGGTTTGTTTCTCGACATCGCTCAGGGAGGTTGCCTTCTCAGGGGTGTGGTCACCCCTCTTGGATAGGACTCCCTCGCCAGCAGATGCCATATTCGAGGGCGATATGAAACCCTGTGGGAGAAGCGTGGGTATGGGAAAAACAACGATGAGAAGATGAGTGTGGCAGATATGGGCCCCAGCTGCTGTGGGCTATACGCCCATCTATATTTCATCTCGCGATCCTTGAAGAGCCAAAGTGGAGCCATGCATCCATCCCATCAAACACCCATGGCCCTAAAGCGATTCGCCTTCCCAATCCGTTGGCCGTTGGGATAACTCGACAGCTCTGGAGTGCGCGCGACCCTTGAAATTTTTCTTCCATGGTTCCACTTCTTGGCGGGAAAGGAGGCGCACTTTTGCCGTGGCGCCAGAATGCTGCCGTTGAAAAGTCGCGGGTGTGGTGTAGGCAGTACGATAGGGTAAAGGAAGGATGTGCGCGCGACGAAATTTTTCGAACCGGGTTGTGTCGGGTTTTGCGGACGGTAGCGTGCTAAGTCAGGGCTGCTAGTTACTGTAGCGTGTACGCAATGCTACTGTAGCGTGTGCCATTCCGAGTGCGCATTCAGCAATAAAAAAAAATCTGCATGTTAGTCCTCTCTCCATTAACTGTACATTGTGCCTACTCTAGTACCATACTACGGTATGGTAGCTTCGGCAATAGCCCAAGGCCGTTCACGCGACTCTTCACGGCAACTTGCCAAGCGTCCACGGCGACGAACGAATCATGCGCCGTCATGTGGAAAAATTTGGAGTGGCTTCTAACATGGAAGACATGGAAGACTCGGCTGATCACCTGCTCGCTTTTGATGTTGCTCTCGAAGGACTTTGTTTGGGCAAGGCTCCAATGCTGCAGGCACATGCATTCAGCTGCACTACCCGTATGTCAATTCACGTGCATGAAGAGGAGGCTGCGGTTACTACTGAGGTTGCGATCGAGGTCTGAAGAGTGGCTGATATATCAATGGCTAGTGCTCTAACAAAGACCAGACATGATCTATCTGTCTTTTCTTGCTTGCGTAGTAGGTTGTCTCACGCATCACTGAGGTTGGGCGAGATAACAAGAGGTAAGAGGGTAGATATATAAAGGTCATCTCATTCATCAGACGCTGTGCCAATTTTCTACCCTGGTAGTAATACCCACCCGGCCAATCACGCCAGCGTAGGGCAAAGCTTGGTAGAGCGTCTCAGGAATATTAAGATAGCTTTTAGTAATGCGCTGAATTGACTTGTATACAGGGATAATACTAATTGTAACCTAGTACTTCCTATCTACAAAAACACAGTATCATCACGCCTTTACAAGCAAATTGGCGTATAAGACAGACTCTATTATATGCCATGGTATAGTAGTAGAGGTATTAGAGGTGGTAATAGGGGTCCCTAATCACCATTTCTACCACCACCTCGTACCTACCTCGATATCGCGATATTACATATATCGATACCCACCTTGATTCCAATATCGATATTGAGGTGGGTATCAAGGTAGGCATTCATATAGAGTGTTGATATATCACGATATCAAGGTGGGTTTTAAGGTAGGTATTGGTATACTGCGATATCGACGTTAACATCGAGGTGGGTTTTAAAGTGGTAGTAGAGGTGGTGGTAGATTCCAACAACAATCAGACTTGGGCTCATGCACAGCGCAAAGGTTTGACGTAGTTTACTACGCCTATAGCGCCTACGAGTATAAAATGTATGCAATTAGACAGAGAATCTTGTACAGAGTAGATTGGAAACTTCTAGTACTAGTAGGAGTATAGTAAGTAATGAAATAGATAGATTGTATAAATATATAAAAAGTATACCTTGCAAAATCAGAGTACTACTAAATCGCATTTCATTTTTCCTTAGACGCTCTGCTAACGCTCCGCGCAATTTTTCAGCTCTAGAGTTACCGCAACGCGTAGCCCAACAGGGCGTTGAATTGATAGGATGATATAAAAAGGGCCCTTATAAAGGATGACTTCCCGCACCAACACTAGCACTACTATTAAACATACTCAACAAATGCGGTCTCCGCTTCTCCAAATCCAAAATCATGCTCCCAAACAAGCCATTCGCCCAACTAAACCACTGCCGCGTCCAGATCTTCTCACTCCTCGCATCCACACTCTCATGCATCAACCCAAGCCCATCCGTACTCCTCACCAACATCTGCAAATTCGCGAGAATCTCGTCCTCGTCCTCGCTCGTCAGGATGGTGACGATCAGCGCCATCGGCCACACACGCCCGGGCAGGGTGTGCGGGGACCCCACGCCCGAAAGCACGGGGCCCTGGGCGAAATAGGGGTTCTCGCGCGAGAGAATCTTGCGGCGTGTGTTGGCGTAGATGGGGTCGTGGAGGGTTGTGTAGCCGATGAAGGGGGCGGAGAGTAGAGAGGGGACGTTGGGATCATCCATGACGTTTGCGCTGCCGAAGCCGTCGACTTCGTAGGCGTATATTTTGCCGTGCAGTTTGTCGTCGATGATGCCGTAGGCGTCGATGCCCCGGTTGATGTGGGTGCTTGTGCGTTTGATCCATCTGCTTAGCTTGCCGGATCGCGGCGAGATGGTAGATGCGATGATGGAGCAGGCGTTGAGGGCGGAGCTGAACATCATGTTAGAGGGGATAAGGTACTGGTACGTACACGCATCGTCACTTGGACGATGGTAACTGCGTATGAGGCCGATGTTGCCTTTGTGTGGACTTCCGTTGCAGCGGTTGATTGGGGTTCCGCCATAAGGTGCACAGTAGGTGTAGGGTGTGTGCTGCCATGCGCCGTCTGGGGTGTAGGAATCAATCCTCATGCTCTCCACGGTCCGTAAGATTGTTTCCACGGCTTTCGTCCAGTTTCTGGTCTGTTTGAAAAAGTCGTAGTCTTTCGTTGCGGTTGCGTAGTCGGCGGAGAGCTGCAAGAAGGAGGCGAAGCTATCGAGTTCCCATTGACAGGAGAAGACGCTCATGTCATCAAAAGCAGGGGTGATTTCATCGCTGTTCATACTGCTTTTGCGCTTGATTCCACTCTCTACAGGGGCCTGGAAGGCGTTACAGAAGGGGTTCTCCAAGATGTAACGAGCTTGCAGGTTGATGGCACCGCGGAAGAGACTCGCAAAACTGTTCTGACTTTTGGATGGCTTCAGTAGGGAGACGTAGGCTTGTAATTGGTTTGCACTGTCTCGCAACCACATTGCTTCAATGTCTCCCGTGACCACAAATGTGAGCTCCTCTTGCGTCTCCCTCTGCTCACCATCTTCGTCCTCTTCAGCAGTCTGGTCTGCATAACCTTGCCATGCAATCGTCGTGTCCAGTGTACTTGGCCAACTATTCTCGAAGACCCGGAAGAGGTCAGGATCCTTGATTACATGGCGCAGTCGTTCAATTGTGTCTTCCACCTCTTGTGAGATGAATGTTCGGCAGGCTTCTATAGGCCGAGCATATGACAAGTTAAGGCTCCCTCCAGTAAACGGTTCGTGCCTCTGTCTAGCATATTCGGAGTATGAGGGACATTGGGCATAGGTTGCAGGAATAAGCGTGAATATGGAGAGGATGTCTACAGGCCGCATTGTCTCAAACAGATAATGTCCAGAATGCGCATCAATGAACTGGTAAGCGCGAATCAACAGAAAGTGTATGCAAAGCAAACACTTAAAGGCACAAGATCAATGCAAGAAACGATACAAGAAACAAATGAGTAATGAATTGAATAAGGAAATGAGAAAGGATACATCTAAAGGTGTCCGTATCCACCTAATTGTTAGGCCATAGCGTGCGCGCATAGTAGGACTATGGGGTATGGCGTGCCCTGCGCCTATATATACTATTCTATTCGTGAATAATCCATATTCATGGATTATACGCACCTTTTTGGTTGTTTGGCGCAGTGGGAATAGACACTATATCCTAACACTAACAAACTAATCCTAATAAGGACGTATCTTATCTAAGCTAGGATCGGGAATACTAGTAGTAGTAGTAGTAGCAGTAGTTACTACTATGGATATCATAAGTGGTATAGATGATCTAGAAAGAACAAGAAGATCATGTATTGTGTAAGTACCGTAACGTTATAACCGTTATAATCTAATAGTATAGTAAAGGGGGCGTTAAGGCCCTATAAACTAGCCTACTAGGCATTAAATAATTATTATAGTATTTATTTTAAGTTAAAGTAGAATAACATTACCTAATTAGGAAGTTTAGTAGGGCCTCCTGCTAAGTAACTAGTGCGGCACGGATATGGATGCAACTTCCGTTGTACTGTAAACGTCACATATGAAAAGATGTCTATTGGAATTTGGAAGCTGTTTAGGGCTCTGTCTAGAGTCCAGACTTTGTTGAGCCCACTAATGAAGAGGAGTTACTTGCTCGGGCCACATGCCTGTAAGTTACTACAGCTGGTCGGCCCTTGGGTGAGGGGGTGAGAGACTAGGGTGAGACTGGTCAAGTGTAAAGTAAGAGGTCGGTGACGTTTCATACAAGGTTTGATATCCCCGACGTGATACGCCGAGTTACGAAGCTAAGCCCCGATTAGGTCTGGGTGAGCTTGTAACTGGGTTAGTAACCTTTTTGTAACGCGGGCGCATAACTCCTTCCGAAGTGGGATACGGCCGGAGCGGCATGCAGACACGGCGAGTCGATCTTAGATGGGAAAAAAAGAAAAGACCCATCATATGTGTATATAATGCCAGGTCACCAGATGTGTCATGTGTGCAGCACAATAGCGGGTTATGGTGCTGTAGATATATCTCGGCTCGTGTGGGTATTGGGGGAAATGGTCCCGGTTTGTACCTTGTTCAATTTAGCTATATTGCAAGCCGCTGCTCAGGTATCCCCATATTATCCCCCCTTCACGATGGCTCGGACGCGCTTCCGCTCCTCGGCATCCATGACCCATGGGATGCCGGACTCGCCTGAAGTGTCATTTGCAACCTCATCCCATTCATCGTCTTCCATGTTCATGATGAGCGTCATTTGTGTGCACTTTGTAAAGGCATCGCGCAAACCATACTTGCCGCCAGCAACGGCTGCTGTGACGATGCCCGCGATATCACGTTCGAGTCTTACAGCTCCAAGCTCATTCACTCTGCCGTAATAACTCCGGATGCGCCGATCTAATGCGGATGCGAGATAGTTTAGCGCAAGAGTGAGCAAACGGTCAAAGTTTGCAGAGGTCAAAATGCGCTTGATGGGACGAATCACTGTACCCCAGCCACGGTCAAAGCGTGACTTTACAAGATCAGCATCTTCTTCTTCCCGCTCGTCCTCGAGATCATCGTCTTCTTCCGGCGCATAGTCGACGTCGCGAAACGCTTCCGCTAGTAACGGTTTGATACGAGGCTTGAGGACGTTGTTAAAGAGCACGGTGATGCCATCATTGAGAAGGTCGCCACTCTTCGAGGCAAAGGATCTTTCCATAGCCTTCAAAGTGTTCTCGACGAACGTGGCATCATGGCCAAAGGGAAAGAGATCGTGGAGCTGCGACTTCGAAACCTGGTGACCATTGCTACCCTCTGGTGAGCCACCAAGCTGTTGCTGTACAATTCGCCTAATGTAGTCATTCGCGACGTCAAGGTTGTTGATCAGAACCAAAAAGGCAATGACTTTGTCCTCTGGTGGAAGTCCACCCTGAATAACGGGCTTGGGATAGCTCTCGTCCCGCATCTTGCGCTGGATCATGCCAATGAAGTCCGTACCCAAGATCTGACTCACCATTGGCACGACGCTGGAGACGACTGCGCGCTGAGATGTTGCTAGAGTTCTCTGGAGCACTTGGTTGACAATATACATGACGTCGTCAACAGCGGAGGTGATGAATGGGGGATTTGAGCCAAGAGGCTTGGTGGGGTGGAGCGTCAAGTCAGAGGGTGCCTCATCAAGCTGGAAAGCCTTCTCGACGGATCGTCTGAAGAAAAAGGTGGACATGACGTTGACAGGCTCAACAAGATGGCTTGTCACCTTCTTGTGTAAATTGCTAGTTGCCAAGAAATGAGGCATGACTAGGCCATGATCGACACGATCTTCAGGTTCAAAAGGCTACATGGATGAGCATATGCAATGTTCTTCTTCGTAATCAATCGACTTACCGCGCATTTGTCGGAGAGGAAGCGCGAGTACAGGGCATATCGGCCTAGTATTAGCGCACTTTCTCCCAGCAAGCCGTCCACCTCCTTCATATTGACACCCTCGTCTTCGCTGGAACGTGGAGCGCCATTGGCCGGAGAGCTCGATCGAGGCGTGCCAGTCCCAGGTTTCTGGGCCGGGAGGAAGCTTTGGACTAGAAATGAAAAGGCGTACGACTTGATCTCGGTGAGCTTGCGGTCAATGTTTCGCTCTTCACGCCACGTGTCGAGTATGATGCCACCTTGCACGTCAGCTTCGATCTGTAGTCGCTCAATGACCTTTTGCATCATGCCCGGGCCATAGTGGCGCTCCACCAGCGGCTCATGGCCGTCGACGATTTGGGCAATGTGCTCGAACAGTTTGGTGATGGTGTTGCCGTAGAAGAAGCCCTCGTTCCGCTGTGCCGGTGCAGGCGAGTTGAAGTTTGCGCGCGCCCTCGAAGCAACACCCTGGCAGACATATCTCCCATAGGCATCCAATCCCACGTCTGTTCGTCCAATCAAGGGGAACAGCTTGAAGAAGCGCGTGACCTTGGAGCCGTCGCCCTCTTTGGCGGCCTTGTCGAATTCGCGCAGAAACAGTCCACACAACGACTCGGCTGCAGCGTCCAGAGTCACCCGTGGCGGATCGGGGACTTCGGCGGTAGGCACGATTTCCTCTGCAAAACTGCCGTCGATGACATCTGCTGGTATCTTGGAGGCGCGACTGAGGTACCCCGCAGCCGTTTCCCAGTCCTGCGGGGCGCCCATGGAGCCATGGACGCCGAGCACGCAGGCCTTGAGCTCAGCCACCTGCTCGACCACCTCGAGTGTCGCCTTGACGTTTGTCTGCTCCTGGTCCAGCCTGCGCACAGCACTCGAGATGCGGTTGGCAGTCGAGGCGGCGTCGGAGAGCATGCCATTGCTGATGGCTCGCGTGTTGACAGCTTGGGTGCCGAGATTGGCTCTGAGCAGGTCGAGGCGGCCGAGATGGCGGGAGAGGTCCTTTTGGGCGGCGATGAGGGCATTGAGGCGCTGCGTCACCGTGGCCTCTTGCGTGTGCAGCTGGTCGAGGGCGGCATGGATTTCGGCTATCGAGTTGGCAGCGAAGATGTCGCGGGGTTCGTGTGCGCCATGCTCGACCATTGCTGTGGTGCGGGCATCAAGTGGCGGTGGGGATGTTGCGGGGTGGGGTGGTGGTGGTGGTGGTGGTAGTAGTAGCAGTGCCGGTGAGAAGGTGCTGACTGTATGTGCATATGTGTGTGTGTGGTGTGTGTGTGTGTGGTGTGTGTGTGGCTAGGTACCGGTACCTTAGTGCCTGGCCAACCGGCGGTGTTGATCGACTTATTTCGGGCACCCGAAGCGTACTCTACCTAGGTACCGGTACATACACACACTACATGCATAGTAGGTAGGGTTCTTGCGGACGTCGCGCAGCTGTCTCTTCCAAGTCCGGGTCCATCTCTTGGCTGTTACTGATCCAATTTCTCTCTCCCGCTAACAGATAGGCCGTATGTACAGTAGGAGAAGTATTATGTTCTGGTGTAGGAGTGGTACCTCAGCCTGTTGTCGTATCTCTGGGGCCCTGGTGGCGGTTGGTTGCCCCCTGCAGCCAGCGGACGAGTCTTGGGTCCAGAAGCCTGTTCAATGTTGACGGGTGCCACTGATTGAACCGTCGCCTTCCACCATCATCCGGCCAGCTTACGACTCTTTTCTTCTTCTTCTTCTTCGTCTTCGACGTCTTCTTCTTTTTCCTGGCCTTCCTTTGTGTGTTTGGGGCAAACGATAGGGCTGTTGGACTTGCCACTACACATCACTCGGCCTCGTTTGCATCTACCATAATAACGGTAGTCTAATACACACACTAGGTAGGTACCTACTGCTCCCATCCGCAAGAGGTAAACAACACCAACAAAAAAACAAAGACAAAGGTCGCCGATCAATTCTAGAACCCGCACCTTGCATCTTGCATCTTGCACCTTGCACCTTGCACCTTGCAGCGCTAGGATCTATTTACCTATTTACCTACGCACAAGACCTACGCAACCTGCAGCTCCACCCTTCCCCGACTGCGCCTTCCGCGACACGACAAGCGGCAATCTTGATCCTACCTAAGCCTTGCCAGCCAATTTATCCTTCCAACGCCTCTCAGTGCTGCCCGTCTCCCTCTGCGACTTCCTCTCTCTCAACTCCGCATTCACCAACCCCCGCCTCGTCTCGCATCTCCACATTCGCCGCATCAAATTCGTTCTCACACAAGACTTCCCAAATTCCTCGACTTCTTCTCCGCCAATACCGGTAGATCCTTGGAACCCGCTACGCGCAGCCCCGTGTGTCCCCTCCAGCTAAAACTTCCGAATCTCTCCTCGCCCATGTTTCCACGCCGATAACCAACTTGTACCCCTTCTACCCTTCTTCAAAGCCGAATCTGGCGGTGCGCCTGTACGGAAAAGGGTCCCCCACAATTCCTCATGGACTCGACGGCGCATGCCCTGGCAATTGCCCACCAACTCCACCGTCGCGCGGGTGGTATGGGTGGAGAGACTGGAACACGTCCCGCATCGTACAAAATTATTGGCCTGGTCCTGGCCATTGCATCTGGATTCTTCATTGGTGCATCGTTTGTCATCAAGAAGTATGGTTTGCTGCAAGCAAACAAGAAATACAATGAAGAGGCAGGAGAGGGCTTCGGTTACCTGAAGAACGCTTGGTGGTGGCTAGGCATGATCCTCATGATCATAGGAGAAATCTGCAATTTGGTTGCCTACGCATTCACCGATGCTATCTTGGTGACCCCCATGGGCGCCTTGAGTTGTGTGGTGACAGCCATCCTTTCAACGATTTTCTTAAAGGAGCGTTTGAGCTTCGTAGGAAAGATAGGCTGCTTCAACTGTATCATTGGATCTGTGGTCATTGCTGTGAATGCGCCAGAGCAGTCGTCCGTGGCACGCATTCAAGACATGAAGAAGTGGGTTATCGCACCTGGCTTCCTCAGTTTTGCAGGCGTCATCATCCTTGCAAGCGCTGGAATTGCCATCTGGCTCGGGCCGAAGTACGGAAAGAAGACCATGATGGTCTACATATCGATTTGTTCGTTAATTGGGGGCCTCTCAGTGGTAGCCACGCAAGGTTTGGGTGCAGCCATCGTGGCCCAGGCTTCCGGAACTTACGGCGGCCAGTTCAAGGAATGGTTCCTCTACGTCCTTCTCGTCTTTGTGATCGCCACGCTACTCACTGAGATTATATATCTCAATGCAAGTCCATTATGCACGCCGACCGTCTGTGGAAAACGCTAACCTGGCACAGAAAGCCCTGAATCTATTCAATGCCGCCTTGGTAACACCCACTTACTACGTCTTCTTCACATCATCAACCATTGTTACTTCTGCCGTTCTTTTCCAAGGATTCAAAGGCACTCCACTCCAAATCGTCAGCGTTATCATGGGGTTCCTTCAAATCTGTTCTGGAGTCGTTCTGCTACAACTTTCTAAATCGGCAAAAGACGTTCCTGATACCGCGGTGTTCAAGGGTGACCTCGATCAGATACGAACCGTGGCCGAGGTGGAGGAGCCTGAGTACGAGCCACGTGCTGACACCCTTCGCGGTGGCGCTTCGATTCTGCGGACCCTTTCGAAGGCCAGATCCCACAAGGAACTTGCAGAAGCCAAGAAAATCCAAGAAGAGCACATGGAAGTCATTGGCGAAGGCGAGCAAGTCGAGTTCGATGGACTGCGACGAAGAAAGACGGTCATGGACCCCAATCGGCCTCCAACGCGCAGTGGCACTGTTGTGCATACCAAAACGATACATCCACCTCTTGGCATGTCGCAATTCCCTACTGAGGAGTCGGACGACGACAACGACAGTTTCCACCCCGGCTTCTTCCAGCGTTTAAGATCTCGCGGCAAGTCAACTAGTAGTCGCGGCAGCGCACATAGACCTGGCACACCGGGCATGGGCATGCGGACACTTCCACCGATACCTACCGACGGCGCATCGGACCAAGAGTCGGATTCTCAATCCGACAAACACAACCTATCGCAAGATACCTCCTACAAGCCCATTGTCGACTCCCACATACAATTTGACCTCCCGGGGCCGATCCATCAGCAAGAGCGTCAGGCATCCCCTGCCTCATCCCTCCATCCTCCCAAACCGCCTCCGCACATGGCAAAGCGTCAATTCTCCTTTCAGAATGTGTTTTCACGGAATCGCTCAGAGTCAACGGGCGAAAGCAGCAAGAGACCTACCAGCAGCAGACATAGTCACCGCGCCAGCCGAGATAGCAAAGCCGTCGCCACCGAGGAGGAGCGGTTAGGCCTTGTGAAAGGCGACTCGTCCAACCTGATCCCCATAGAAAGTCGTGCAGACGACGACGCCGACGAAGGGATGGAGCCACCAGGGTACGCAGACGATTGGGGCATGCCGCGCAGCTCCAGTCCAGGATACTCCCCCGAGCGCGTTACCTTACCGCCCGCCATCACCTCACCAGCGCGCACCTCATCGCCACTACGTCAAGGGGTACGCAGAGTAGGAACTGATGAATTCGACCCGAATTTCGATACGGGCGAGTATGAGAAGAGGGCTACCAATACTGGTGCTTTTCTGTGATGTATTTTCTCGATTGAGCGGTTTCCGTGCTTTTGTTTCCCCCTGTGGCGCAGTGTGCTTGGGTATACTGAATGGCATTGTGGTGGGATAGCGTGGTGTTGCTTCATGAGCGACAAGGGTAAAAGCAAAAGGAATGATTCTTGGATGCAGGCATGATGCTTAATGACTCTCTTCTTGCTATATTTTTGTAGCGAGCGTACGTACATGAATAGTAGGGACATGGAAGGGAAGTAACGTTTGGATGGGATGAGAATGAATTGGGAAGGAAGAACGAGGGATTGTTGTATATATGGAGGATTGGATGTCAAGGCACGAACAGGGTGTCTTTCTACGCTTTCTTCTTACCTTTTTCTTCTTCTTGTTCTTCTTCTTGTTCTTGTTCTTGTTCTCTAGAGAGGAGAATAAGAAGGAAAGATGGGGTAGAGTTGGGTAAGAGCAGGGTAATAGACAGATGGGTATAGGTTATGAGAATACTCGGCAACGTGAACCAAAGAGATTTTATACATGTAGCCTGGTTCTACTCTGGTGCCTTTGCTATTTTCCTGTTCTCGGGTTAGGTGGTATGTGCTTGGTACGCTGGGGGAGACGGGAGAGGGCACAAGGGAGAAGGGAGAAGAAGGTTGTAGATTTGGTCTGATGTCAGTCTGCTCTGTGTGGAGGTTGGGGTTGGGGTTGGGTTGGACTGTGGATGTGATCATGTGGGGCCACATTTGTGTGTGGTAGAGTAGGGAGGCGGCTGAGAGAAGATGGACCATGCCTGATTGGGTATGCTATGGTGTGGTGTGGTGTGGTACCGCACCCTGACGGTTGGACCCTGTCCAGTCAGACGGAGCCGTGGAGGGAAATGGCCGGGGCGGCGTTGCGTCGACGTAAAGTGGGTGTCATGTCATGTGTTTTGCATACTCTATTACAAGTAGGATTGCGAAGGAAGCGGATGGGAAGAGTGCTGATGGTACTCTACTCATGGGCTGGGCGGTTGCTCGTCTGCATGTGTGGGAGATGTTGAAGTGGACAGAGGGGCAGTTGGTGCTACTGGTACTCTACTCTAGAACACTCCTGGAGTAGTACTACTACTTCTTCATCGTTGATCAGGAGATTTCCGTTCTCAGATGGAGTCATGGTGGACGTGACTGATCTGACTAAGGAAGTATAGGGGATATACTATCATGGTTCGACAGACTGGCGCAATATGGTGCAACGCACACCACAGTGGCCTGAGAGGGCCTTTGCTTGCGCTTATGGGAGTAAGCTTGGTCGCAAGAGGAGAGCGGCACAAGTGATGATGGTGATGATGATAGGAGAGCATGATGGTGGATAAGAGACTGGGCGGGCAAAGCAGGACCGCAGAGGCCCACGCGTTCCGCCATCGGGATTGTGGCTTTCCAAGCATGCAAGCGTCATCTCCCAAGGGCCCCGGGTGTTCAAGCTGAGACTATGTAGCCAAGCGTCTATCCAATTCGCACCACAGTAAGACCGTAGAAAATCGGGCATTTGAAGGCGGTTTTCAATCGGCAGACACAGCAGACCCACAGCGCCGAGCCTCAGGCTTACCTGCTTTCTGTACATTCAGAGCACCCTCACCACCACTTCCCTGGCCACCCTTTCCACCCAGCAATTCCATACCGTCCACACACTCTTGTTGCTATCGACATCCTCTACCACCCACCATTTCGTCGATTCACCTGCACCGATTTACTGCGACTAGACGACTGTCACTCGTTGCGCCACTGAGACTGTCGCACGCGAGATCCCGAGGTACGTGTGAGGTGTGAGGAGGGGCCCTGCGAGGCTTATCAGATGGAGGGGAGAAGTTTTTATCAGATGGTCGCAGTCATATCAGATCGAGCGCCGCGCTCCTCACAATGATGACAAGATGCAGCCGGCGAGTCGGATGCAGCATTACACCTTCACACTCGGCGTTACAGTAGACGAGCAGGGCAAACATGAGCCAATTCTTGCTAACCACGATGCACGCTAGCAGGACCAGTCGTCGCCGTCCTCTTTGTCGCGCCCTCACCCCGAAGCCAACCTGTCCGCCACCAGCCTTCACTCCCGCCCACCCCCATTTACAGCCATCGCCGCTGCCTCGCTTCGACAGCGCAAGCCATGGCACATGAAATCCCTACCACGGCGACATCACACCCCAACGACCCGATTCCCTCGGACCCAACCCATGAGATCCCCCAACTCACACTGCGGCCATCGGAGTCGCAGCCCCAGCCCCAGCCCCAGCCCGAGCCGACATCGCCCAAATCGGCGGGAGAATCCATTCTATGGAGTGCAAACAGCAGCGATGACAGCGAGGCGCCCATGACGCCGACCACGGAGCCTGACCAGGCCGTCGATGAGGTCGTCGATAAGCTTCAGGATCTGCCCACCGCTGCCGTCAATTTTTCTGGCCAGTCACGGCCCAGGCGTGCCTCCACCACACTCATCTCAGACAGTCCCACCGACATCAGACGCATCTTGGGCGATGGCGAGACGGCCACCAAGCTCATCAGTCAGTGCTGCGGTGGTGGCTGCTGTCTACTCAAGACATTGGCGCCAGACACGTCGTCGCCCAATTTTGTGCCTGTTGTCGTCCCCGATACTCAGGCCTACAGAAGCCTCAATCTGAAGCTGGGCCCGCTGGCTCTTGACAGCGAGCTCACCGACACGACACCGCTGCCAAATGTGCACCTGTCCTTCGAGCCTCTCCCGTCCAAGGAGATCAAGTACGTCTCCGAGGTACACAAGACGCCGCCCAAGTTTGTCCAGCCACACCCACCGTACGAGGTCTACTCGGCGCCCTTGTACCACGCCCGCGAGCTCACCAAGCCGGGGGCGGAAAAGAGGACGTATCACTTCGACATCGATGTGACCGACTACCCGGATGAGGGCGGTGTCGATTTCAAGGTTGGCGGTGCCATTGGCATCTGCCCACCCAACTCTCAGGAGATGGTCGACGAGCTCTTCGATGTTCTTTGCGTGCCCAAGTTCGTCCGCGATAAACCAGTCGTCCTCAGGACACAGACTGGACGGTGGCCGACTATTTGGGGCGAGGATCAAGCACGCGAGCTCATCACGACACGTCGTGAATTGTTGACATGGTGTACAGACATTCAATCCAACCCACCCACCAAGAACCTCCTACGTGTCATGGCCGAGTACGCCGACGCACCGAACGAGAAGAAGATTCTCACCTACCTCTGCTCCGCACAGGGCCAAGCGGCCTTCTGTGACCTCCGCACAACCTCCCACATCACCGTCTCCCAAATGCTCAGCGCATTTCCTTCCTCCAAGCCACCACTACCTGCTCTCCTCGCCGTCCTCACCCAACTCATGCCACGCTTCTACTCACTCTCCAACGACCCACACATCTCTTCCGCGCGTCCCGGCCTTCCCGGAAACCGCCGCCTTATTGAAGTAGCCGTTACAGTTCATGAGTCACCCGACTGGCACGCCGAAGGCGCTACTCGCACCGGCGCTGGCAGTGGCTTCATGGAGCGCCAGGCGCACACGTTCATCAGCGCGGAGAATGAAGGCATCGATCCCCGCTCCATTCTCGACCTGCGCATCCCCATGTTCCGTGGTCTCATGGCCAATCCATTGTCCAAGCAATTCGGCGGCGAAGGGCCCATGGTGCTCATCGGTGCTGGTGTCGGCATGGCCCCCTTCCGTGGCTTCATCCTCAACCGGTTGAAGAATGCAAACTGCGCGAACAAAATCTGGCTCATCCAAGGTGTCCGCGATTCCATGCTCGACGAGCTATACAGCGGTGAATTGGGAGACCATGAGCGCGAGATTAAGAAGGTGGTGCAGAGTCGCAAGGTCAAGGCTGGAGGCAACAATGAAGTCAAATACGTGCAGGACGAAGTCCGCGTACAAGCAGACATTGTCTGGTTCGTCATCAATGCGCTGGATGGCCGCATCTTTGTTTGTGGTTCTAGTAAGGGCATGGGCGAGGGTGTGGAGGAGAGCCTCATCGATGTTGCCATGACCAAGGGGCGTCTGAGCGAGAGTCAGGCCAAGGAATTCTGGGCCAAGAAGAAGGAAGACGGGCAGTATATTGCTGTAAGTTGTGCCTTTTGTGCATCTTTTATTGCAAATGGTCGGTGTACTAATAAACCTGTAGGAAACGTGGTAGAAAGTGGATGCGTCGATACGCATCGACCATTGTATATATACGCCTCTTATGCCCCGGTGGTTTCTCGCTCTCCCTCGCTGCTGCCACCGCCGCTGAAGATGCACACCTTGTATCCAGTCTCTCTCTGTCGCTATATCGTCATCAATCTCACCACATCATCACGGCGTTTGCTCATCTCTTTTGGTCTCATACACAGCGAGCTTCACCATTTACTTAGACGGGGGCCAGATGCAACAAGAGGCGGGCGGGTAACCATTTGTCTATTTTGAGTATTTTTACTTGTTCATCCTTGGGCGGAAAATCGTCTTTTTTTTTCTTATTTGGGAAACCTAAAGTTTGTTTTTTAGTTTCTTTGCTTGTTGGCATTGCGCTGCATAATTTTTCCTTTTGTTATTATCTGTCTGGTATAGAGTGTGTTGGATGCATGGCGCTCACATCTATTCTACATCTTTTTCTCTTTTTGCGGATTTCGTTATCGTGCACTGGTACGGTGGTGGGCTTTGGATAGCATGTCCTTTCCACCATTGCTTTACCCGTTGAGATATTTGCGCGTCTAGGAGAGACAAACCTCGGCATTGTAAAGACAAAGGACCGGGGTGGGATTTTCTTTGTTGGCAGATTTGTGCAGGGGCTTTTTGCCTCTTGCGTTGGTAATGCATGTGCGGCTTAGAAGGGCGCGTGGATGTATGCATGTGGTGGATTGGGGTTGTGTGTATGTGTATGCTATGTGGTATGTGGTATCTGTTGTTGCCATGTAGACACAGAAGAGAAACCAAGAATTAGCAATTTGGGATTTGTGCCGCTGATTAGGTTGTTTTGCTGTTGCTGTTGCTGTTGCTGTTGCTATCGCTGTTGCTGTTGTGGTACCTTATCCCCAGGGGGCGGACAGATTCACCAACTGACGGACCAACGGTCTGAATGTCTGACCATATCCTGGGAATTTGGTACGCCGGGTTTGAGCATGCTGTCTGTCTGCTTGGGATTATTTGGTTTTTCAACTCACTTGTGGGGTGGGTGGGTGGGTGGTTACTGGGACTGTTCAGATGGGAAGGAAGAGAATCTAGAAGAAGATGTAGAAGATGTAGAAGACGTAGTAATCCCCTATCTTCTAGATCCCCAAGTCCAACCAGCACAGAGAAGAATATACAAACTCCAGAACGAGGAATCATGTCAAAGACGAGGTCATCCCACTGACCAAGCATGCCTCGACGGCGCTGCACGAGCAGATTGAAACGCTATTCCCAGCAGCAGAGATGGGTGCAAGAGATGAGGCAGGAGGCAGTGTGATGTCAGAATTTGATCGAGTGTTTTGATGAAACGTTATAGTCGCTATTTGGTTGTTCGTTAATCGTGACTGCCTTGGTATTATCTTGTTCATTGTAGGCGTCCGCTGACTGGCCTAGTAGATTCTGGCATGTTGGGCGAGGAACGGGATCTATTGTGAGGGGTATTAAAGCCAATAGTCTTTCTCATCAGATTGCAATAAATTCATCTCAGATTGACGATAGTACCGAAAATTCTGGTTGTGGAAAATATGGCAGTATAAAGGTAGGAGAGGTTTGCTTTTGCCGATAATATGTTGCATTGGTACTTTGAGTCAAGACAAATTATATAGTTCATTTGAGGCGAGAGAATCTAGAACGTCTGCTGTTCATGTACATGCATTGTATCTCTGCCAGAGCTGATGGTGAAGGTCAGCTGTTCAACGCCAAAAATACCTTTACACTATGACATATCAGAGGCAACCCAAGTGCGGCTGATCAACGATTCGATAAGCGATCAGTCGCACAAGTGATACTACTAACACAAATAGTCGTATTCTGCTGCTCAACCCGTCTACCTTCTGCCGCCGCGCACGCGTGCACTGTCCTCATCGTTGACAGGTCGACATGTAGTCCAACTGACCTCAACAACATGTCGTCGATCGATGTTAATCGAGCTCGCTTAGGTGGTCGATCCGCCACAGTTGCACAAGCACGTGAAAGTGGTGCATCTCATGAGGGTGGCGTTACCACTTCTTTCCCCTGACCTACTCGTGGGCCAGAGTCCAGACACGCAAATTGGAGACTTGGTATGAAATAATTAAAGTACCGCGGCTCTGATGAGGCTCGGTTGCTTCTGAAAGGTATAAGACCGGATGTTGGTCAAGGTTCCCTTTTCTTGCGAGACAGCTGATGAGCAGGGCGGGCTGGAAGCGGAAGAGCCGCAACACCAAGGCGCCCGGGTCGGAATAAGGTCCCTCAACCATTTGCGCAGGGTAGGATTCAGGCTATGCTGCCGAATGGCACTATGGCGGCCGCTCGAAGATCAACACCATGTCATGTCTTCCTTGACGAAAAATCGAAAAACTATACGGTCCACTTTCACATGCAACATCATGTTGATACAGCAACCTATGTTTAGCTGCAGAACATGCTCCTCACATGAACGACTGTAATTGACGTACCCAATAGTTCCCAGCCGTTTTGCGCAGCGACGTACATGTACAGCAGTGCCCATATGCGGAACGTATGACGAATGCGTTAGCGGTTGGTTGCTGTGAGGAGGGAGTGATAAGGCGCAATGGGAGCCAATTGAACGTGACGGTGTGAGAGGATAAGGTGTGCATACTCTCGTATCGGTAGACATGCAATGCTGCCGCTGCTGGAGAGTATGTGGAGGTCAGCAAAGTTCTTTCATTCTCTTGTCTGTGTGGGGTTTCCAAACAACCCAAAAACAATCAGCCGGGTGCTGTGCAACAAGAGAAGCAGGATAACCGGGCCCCCTTTGAGAATGGAGACCAATCCAGAGGGGAGAGGGGGAGGCAAGTTGCGCCAAACTGGTGGAGGCGTCGCGGTCCCTTATCATGTTTTCACATGCCAGAGGAACCTGGCCACCCTGCAGCCTGCGTCCATGTATTTCGCCCGATGTCGCGACGGCAACACAAGATGATAGGTAACGTGTTGTGAGGCGTGAATGACGAACATCGTGCAAGGCTCTGCTGCGTCGTCGACTTGATATAATCACCCAAGGAGGAGCTTGTATGGACTCTTATGGAGAGAGGTCTCTGGCAGACGTCTGGCGGGTGAAAACAAAAGCCTCTCTTGTTCCCTGTTGGTGTTAGCTCGCGTTGATTCGTTATCGATAACCACCACTTTCACATGCCATTCATCCTGCGCACCCAAATGAACCCAGCGCCGTTTTCAGATTGGGCAAGCGCCAGGATTCAACCAAATACAGTGCTTTGCTTACACTATAATAAGACCGTAACAGCCTAATCAGCGAAACCTTTCTTTCTCCACGTTACTCGACATCGGCCTTCCTGTCCTTCTTCACCCAGATCTCACCTTCCACTTCACACTGCGTTGCAACACTCTAGCAACACGACATTGCTATACAATCGCTGCTATATGTCCCCCCACGCTGAGCACGATAACGAGCAACCAAACGGAAACATGAGTGACCAACAAGCTCCAATTACCAATGGCGAAACGCCCAGCTCCAGAGTGCTTTCGGTAGGTGACTTCGTTTTGGTTACACAATCTCGATTACACATTCCTCTCTGGCCTTTACAAGAAGTATTGCTATCAGCAATTGCACAGCTATCAGTCCACTCACTTCTTTCCACTCACTTCTCTCCACTCACTTCTCTCCACTCACTTCTCTCCACTCACCTCATCACCCAGCCATGCTGATCAGACAAGCAAACTTGCTAACCCATCCAACCAGCATCTCCACAGCTACCCAGTCGTCCATGACTCCGTCGAGGGATTCAAGCAGGACCCTCGCGGCTCCAGGGTCCTCGCCCTGGCCACCAACACTTACAAAAGCGTCGTCGCCCCATTTACACCCTACCTCGCCACACCATACTCATATCTTCACCCATACTTGGATCGCGCCGATCAGATAGGCGACAACACACTCTCCAAGATCGAGACCAACTTCCCCATTGTCAAGGAAGACACATCCAAGGTCAAGGAGGTCGCTCTCTCTCCGTACACCTATGTTGCAGGCACATGGCAGGACGAGTACAAGAAGACTGCCCGCAAAGATGGCCCCGTCAAGACTGGCATCGTCCTCATCAGCACCGAGTTGAAGATTGTGCAGGATGCCTGTCAGGTGTTCTTGGACTACTGGTACAAGACCGGGCATGCGGTCAGCAAAAAGGCCGAGGAGGTGAAGCAGCAATAGAGAGCTGATCACCCTCCAAGCTTCGTTGAGATCGACGCTAATGTGCGTCGTGCTCGCGGTTGGAGATACCGCGCAGTGCCATATCCTCCCCCTGCCCCCATTTCACATACCTTACCGACCATAGCTGAAGAGGAGGACGAGGACGAGGAGGAAGAAGAAGATAAAGAAGAAGATGGGGGGAGGGTTGGGGAGCACAATTTACTACTCTATTCATCATCCGACAGATCGAGTACCGAAGATCAGAGCATAGACGGCGACGCTAATGGCCGTCGAGATTCCATCACCAAGATTGTGGACGCCATCTTTAGTCTGCCTGGCATTGTTCTCTTCTTGCAGCAAAAGGCTGAGGAAGAGGTTCGTAGGGAAGTTGAAAATGGGCTCGATTCTCCGCCAAGAATCATTTACGAGCCGGACCGCACTTTGCACTTTGTCGGCTTCACTAATCCCTCTGTAATCCATCACTAGTAGATGCCATGCTTGTTTTTCCAATGTTACTGGCCTTTGAAATAACGATAAGCTATTTTTTGTTTCTCCTTTCCACACTTCGTATTGCTTGCCACTGGTCCAATTGTCGACCAGGCACAACGCCTTGAGTGATTTCGAGTGCATCTGAATGAAATTAGAGACTTCGGAAGACTACGGGTGCTGCTGAGCTGCCGGCCCAAACGCTTGCGCGTCAGAACAGTCCGCACAAATCACAAGCTTGTGCATCACATATTTTGAAGCCGACGGAGAATTGACGCCACATGGGAAATCATCAAGTTCGTGAATTTTTGACCCGATGTCGGATTTCATGCTTTGATTATCAAGCATAAGTACACGCCTGAATGGCAGGCCACTTTTGGGATCCCGTCCATTCTCATATCCGCCGACATGGCTCATGCAGTGTCCACGCGTATCAAATCATGCCCCATCTGCGCCCAGCCGTAACCGAAGAAATGCCTAGAACTGTAAGGGAGTGAAGAACCACCTGTTCTTGCCCGACTGGTATCGCTCCTCGAATGCCTTCTTGACGGTCTTCTTGGCCTCCTCCCGTTGCGAGACTTCCTTAAATGTGTCGGCAGACAGGACGCCCTTGAGGTTCTCAAGCTCGATGGTGTAGCGGGTGGGCATGATGTGGGTGTCTATGAGGGTCAGTGCCTGTCCATGCTCTACAATCTCCCTGCTCGATCCCACGTACAGTTGACCTGCTTGACGAAAGGCTTGACCTTGCTCTTTTTGGCCTGCTTGTTCTTTGACATGCGGCGGGTGACCTTCTGGGGGTAGGTCTCGATACCGGCAACGAGCGCGTGGGGGAAGGGGTGCGACTTGGTGCCGTTGTCGAGAGGCGAGATGATCACGCACTTCTTTCCGGCATAGCGACCGCGGGTGATGATCTAGGCAGACCGTAAGTACATGCGAATGGATGCTAGCTTCGAGCAATTTCAACGTACGACAACGCGTCCGACCTTGAGGCTGTGAACAGTGTGTTAGCAGATGTTCCAATCGCATTACAGAAGTTCTCCCAGGGTTTTGCAAATGCTATCTTGCCAGGCCGTCCAGAGTACACCAGCGGTCTTGCAGTCGCCCATTCGCAATCCCAAAGGCACTCTCTCGCAGCATCGGGGTCACTCACAACTTCATTGTGGCTGTCGTCCGGGTTAGTGATGGGGGTAACTGGTCGTGGTGTTCGAATCTGTCAAAGAGCAAAATGCGCGTGGTGCTCGCTTAACCAAATTGGCCCGTGCATTGCGCTAGTGCTCCGCCGCTGGAAATCCATGTCCGATGTCGAGACCCACGGAAAAAAAGTTCGCGACGTGCAGAGGAAGGCATTCACGACAACAAAAATGAAGATTAAGGCGCTCAGCCGCTCCACGGCATCGGTGCAAGCACCCGGCTCGAATGTTACCAAAATCACACGCAACCTTGACCCCAACCTGCACCCTTTCGAACGCGCACGCGAGTACACAAGAGCCCTCAATGCGACAAAGGTCGAGCGCATGTTTGCGCAGCCTTTTCTTGGCGACTTTGAACCTGGACACGTTGACGGTGTATACGCCTTCGCAAAAGATCCTAATTCCCTGGAGCATTTTGCGAGTGGCAGTGGAGACGGCGTGGTAAAAGTATGGGACCTCACAAGCAGGCAAGAGAAGTGGCAGGCCCAGGCGCACGAGAATCTGGTCAAGGGCATGTGCTGGACACAAGATAAAAGGCTCATAACATGCGGTGCAGATCGCCAAATTCAAATGTTCGAACCGTACTCTCAGCCCTCCAAGTCACCACCACAAGCCACATGGCATGGCAGCGCTGCCTTCACATCTGTGTCGCACCATCGATCACTGCCTACATTCGCCGCAGCTTCGAGTGTTGTCTCGATATACGATACTGCCCGCACATCGGGAGCTCCTGTTCAAAATCTTGTGTGGCCATCTGCCATCGATACCATCAACTATGTCACATTCAACCAAGTAGAAACGTCTATATTGGCATCCTGTGCTACGGACCGCGCCGTCGTTCTGTATGATGTCCGCACAAACTCGCCTTTGCACCGAACAGTCCTGAACTTTGCATCCAACTGCATCGCCTGGAACCCCATGGAGGCCTACAATTTTGCTGTCGCCAATGAAGATCACAATGCATATGTATGTTTTCACGCTCCACCATTGTGTATGCTGCTAACATGGCCAGATATTCGATATGCGAAACATGAAGCGTGCTCTTCAGGTACTGAAGGGTCATGTCGCCGCTGTCATGAGCGTAGAGTTTAGCCCTACCGGAGAAGAGCTAGTGACTGGATCTTACGATCGATCAGTACGTTTATGGGAAAGGCAAAAGGGCCATGCACGTGACATATACCATACCAAGCGTATGCAGAGAGTTTTCTCTGTGGCGTGGAGTCCTGACAACAACTACGTGCTCAGCGGTTCGGACGATGGTAACGTGCGTCTATGGCGTGCGAGAGCCTCTGAGAGACGAGGAGTCAAGTCATTTGCCCTTCGTCAAAAGATACAGTATGATGAAGCACTCAAGGAGCGCTACAAGCATATGCCCGAGATCAAGCGCATTGGTCGGCACAGGCACATTCCCAAAACCGTCAAGAAGGCCGGTGAGATCAAGGCTGAAGAGCTCAAGGCGATTCGAAGGAAAGAGGAGAATGAGAGGAGACACACAAAGAAGGGTGAAGTTAGACGAAAAGCAGAACGCGAGAAGATGGTTTTGGCGCGGGAACAGTGATGCATTTAACGATAATGCACTCACTTTTGATTTGCATAGCGTGGGCGTTTCTGGCTCTGGTACATTCGACATCGACACAATTTACAGGTTGCGCATGATGGGCGCAAAAAATCACGCACATTATAAACATTACTTCTACAATACTGAATTGAACCACTCTATTGAATGACTAAAATTCCACGTGACATCGCGACTACTGCGTCATCATGGTCGGCTACTCGACACACAACATTAACTACTATAATATACCAAGGTTCAGCAATCGAGGTTTTCAGAGCGTTACAGACTTCAACATAGGGCTTCATTAGCTCAAAGTCACCGTCTTATGCTCGCCATGGAACTTCAAGATGGCAGGCTTAGCAGCCTCGGCTTGTCCAAAGCAATCGTAAATCAAGAACGGGTCGCTTGTTACAGCCGTTTTTTAGGCTCTGTATCGAACAAGAATCCAGTCCTAGTATTGATTCATGGCTATCCACAATCTTCATACATGTAGCTCTCGCTCCACCCACATATATGCCAGTGGCTAAACAAATACCAGGTGGCGTCATCTTATCCCCCTCCTACCACCTACAGCACCGATATTCGTCCCAGATCTTCCTGGCTATGGAGGCAGTGCTGCTATTGTCAAGAATGATAAAGTTTCTGCCGGTACTACCATCTTAAACGCACTCAAAACACAAGTCAAAAGTACCTTAAGCAGTTCGTCTTCTGGCCCCATCCCAGTCATGCTAATCGGCCATGACCGCGGCGCAAGAGTAGCACACCACATCACCATGCAGGGTATGGAAGGCCTAGATATCCTAGCAACATGCCTAATTGACATTGTAATCCCCCCCCGCCTAAGTCCCCGATGATTGATTGTTTCACAGGATTAACCTCACAATAGGTCCCAACCTCAACCCAATGGCAACACCATTCTACCCCTTCCAAAGCCTCCAAGGAAATAACAGGCTACTTCCATTGGCCCCTCCTTGCAAATACCGATCTCGCCACTCGTATGATTACTGCATTTGGCCCTGCAAACTGGTGCCGGGAGATGATATTGCGCTGGGCCGGGTCATCCCCCACTGGTCTTGCGAGTCTGAAAGCGGATGATGCCTTGAGCGTGTACTGTGCACTCTTTGAGCAAGAGGGCACGTTGAAGGCGAGTTGCGAGGATTACGAGCACGGTGCTACAACAGATGTCGAGAGGGAGGAGGAGTGGCAAAAGAAGGGGATGAAGCTGCAAGTTCCGCTGCTGCTGTTGTATAGTGCGGCGTTCATTGGGAGTAGGTATGAGTTCCCGAGTGTGTGGAGGGAGCGGGTGCAGGAGGGGGTTGAAATTCAGAGTCATGGGCTTGGAGGTGGAATTGGACATTTTGGGGCAGAGGAGGCGCCTGGGGAGAGTGCGGAGGTGATTTTAGGATGGTTAAAAGGGCTGGGGTTTTCGGGTGTGTGAGTGAATTCTTTGGTCAGGAGGAATAGGGATGGTCAACAGCGTGCATGGCTGCTTACCATAAGTTTAGACCACCAACAACAACTCGCAAGCAAGCAAAAAATTCCAGATTTCTCCATTAATATGTCTTCCGTAACAGCCCTAGCGTTGTATTTGAAGCTTCTTGCCGATGGGGGCTCAGCCGTGGGTGTTGGGGTTGGTAATGAGCAACTGGTTTTGAGTTGAACAATCACTGTACAACTCCCGGGTGTGGTTTGGCAGATTTTATTATTATTATTCACGAGGCGCATCAATTATTGGGCATGTGGCTACCGGCAGATGGGAAACAACATTGAGCCTCAACTCTCAACGAAGCAGACGATGGTAAAGGAAACATAGAATGGTAGATCTGGCAAACATCCCCCGCACTCCGCACGAGTCATCCCATAAATAACATGCGTTCAGGAAAAACTCTTCAAAAGGCATAGCGTTGTGTGTATGCCACAAACCAGCAAGCCCCCAGCTTCTCCTAATTCTGCACACTGTCACTTCGATCTATGTCGCACCAAGCGCAGCATGATACCATACCAGCTTGCTTTCTCTATTCTGGTCAACCTAATCACTCTCCATTACCTATCATCAATGTGTAATATGGTCCTGATGCCATATACGCGGCGCGCCCCCAGACTCATTATGCACCTCTAGTCATATTTTCAATTCAAGGAGAGTGAGAATCACATACGGCTGCTATTTGGCGGCCATGGCCTGGAAGTCGTCCTTTTTCGAAACGCTTTGTTTGGCGGAGAGAAGACGCTACATGCCATAGTATTATTACACTGTTTGGTTGCTAGACTTGTTCGAAAAAATGTATGCTATCTTGTCTTATGGCAGAGGTCAAGGATATCGGGAGACATGGAGTGTCAACCATCACGCGATGTTGACTTGATCCAGAGAAGGGAGAAGACATCTTGTAAATTCATCTCAATTTCGAAACACCACAGGAGTGTTTGATGTAGGGGGTTGAACACAGAGAGTGCTCAGTCATCGGAATTAGTCTATATGGCACAGATGCTTCTCAAGATCTTTCCATCTTTTCCCTTTGCCTTCACATGGTCCATAGATTCCAGTTTGTTGGAGAGATATTATTTGTGCATTTCGTTCCCAGTACCCGGATGTTGCTTGACGCATGCCAGCTATCCATGGTACATACACGAAGCATACTTTTGAAAGATGTGCACATGTGTTCCATCCTGGCCACCGTAACTCTCGTGTGAGGATGTGCATCGCACTACCCGTGAGCTCGAATGCGGCAGCAAGGCAAAAGGTGGATGCTGGTTTGCAAGCTTAGTTAGCATGCCATAGTAGCCTCTTCGTACATGCAAGGTATGTGATTTCCTCGATAGTCTATGCCACCAATGAAGCTTGACACAGTACTATCTTTCAATCGCATGAAACCCGGTAGTAATTAGGCGTCAACCCCACGCGCTGACATTACCTGCGAGGGCGCAAAACTCCCAGTTATTTTCCTTGAATCTGCCCGTTCTGCTAAAAACAATCATGCAGCACTACATATCAATTCCAGTATTCTCGTCCGCTCTAAACTTCTTAACTGCTTAGGTAGGCAAGATGAGTCCGTAGTGCCGCGCAGAATATGGTGAAGCAGGCTAGTTCAAGTGAAAGCTTGAGCGGTAGCCGCAATGATAGCGTAGGTCGTCCATGGCTGTTGCAAATCACGACGAAAGCAAATGCAAATATCAATGAGCAGTTGCCATAGCATAAGCAGACACCGAATCCCAACTCTTGCATGATCTTGCCATTACTTCTTACCAACTGAGCAGCTGCGGGAAACTGGAGCTGAGGATGAAACGTTGAATACGGAAAGGAACACGCTGGGGTTTGGTTGTATAGGAAGAGTGAACATGTGGGTAATTACGGTTGAGAGAGAAAGTAAGAGTGAGATTGAAATTGGGTACAATGGTACCTGAAAGATGGAAATAAAGACGTGACTTACGCTGCCATATTACGCAAGATGTCCATGTGGGATAGTCATTATACAGTGTGCAATTTCACGGTGTCATGCATGCAAATATTGTGCATCTTACCTTATCTACGGTCAATCAAACCGTGTGCTCAGATAGGTACCTCAAATGGGATTTTCAGATAGAACCCGTCAAGACCCCAAAGATCCACAAAATCAGGCAGAAACTTTCACGACTTTGTGCAGCTGGTTCGAGACAAATGTGCATTAATACGATGAATACCCAAGCTATGGAGTAACAGTGTAAACTTACAAATTAAGCACAAAGATGGTGCCCCTTTGAAGGGCAGACCTCGCGCCAGAACTCCATATCTTCCATGCAAATACTGCAGAATAATGTTCAGTACCTTTGCGACTGTTTTATACGCTCTTGCTTGGGGGAATATCAGCGGATGCCGTTCCCCGCATCAATCTATACTCTTGGCGAGCGCCCACAAGCTGTCAAGTTTCGCCCTGCCCAAGGTCTCGCGCGCTTCACCAGCGGTTTCGCATACTCTTGAGCCCCACTTGCGGAAAGAACGTTGCTTGATCTCGCCTTCGAAGATTAGTGTGCACTTGTTGAATGAGTGATCCTTGACTTCTCCTTTCTCATCTAGCGACCTCAGCCATTGAGGATCTGAGGCTTGTTTCTCGGCCTGGGTTTCCGTCGGGGGCGCGTTCTCTTGCCAGTTGATGCGGTGCAGCATAAGTTTCTTGTACTTGTTCATTGCGTAGGCACCGCCTTCTACAACGACGAGGTTGAGTTCAGGGTTGAAGAGTGTGACACCAGTGAGCGAGTGTTGTTTCGCGTTGTTGTCGATTTGGAATCGGTGCTTTCCAAAAGCCAGGGTATTGACCTTAAAGACGCACATGTAGAGACCCTTTTGCGCATCCTTCTCTTGGTTCGCAGCCAGTTTGGCCTGTTCTTGCTCCTTGGTAAGCTTGCGCTCTTCGTTTGCTCTGACATGATCTTCGTGGCGTTGCGCAATCTGGGACTCGACGAGCATCTCAACAGCAGTAGGATCAGCAATAGCTTGCTCGCCCATGACACGCATCATGTTTCCACGCTTGACCTTTGGTGGTGGGGGTGGTTCCAGACCCAGCCTGATCTTTGCTTGGTGTTCCTTCAGGTCGGCTGCGCGACGCATTCTCCGTAGCTTCGCCTGCTCCTTCTTAGTGAGGTACATGGGCTTGACCTCGACCAAGCGCTGATCCTGCGGCGCCTTTAGAAGAGGCGGGTGCTGTACATAGGGTGTGATGATGGAATCGTCGTTGTCAATCTTGACCTTGGTGGGGTCATGAATGCAGTCGTAATTCTTCTCTGGCACAATTCCTTCATCCCACCATTCAATCTCCGGGGGCGACTGCACCAAGAAACCACGCTCGGTATTCTCGTCCAGACCAGCGCGACGTGCTTGTATCGCAAGCATCTTCTTGATTTGCTCCAACCGGCTCTGAGCTCGCAGCTTCGAGGCCTGGTCAAGATATTTTCCATGCTCATTGAAGACTAGGACTCGCGGGCCCCTCGTCTTGGCCAGCGCCGCCGCCTTGGGATCAAAGTATGGGTTCTCCAGTTCCTCTTCCTGTGTCTCTTTCTGCTTGGGAGCCGTCTTTGGCTTGGCCTCGACCTTGGGTGTTTCAGCGCGGCGATTGCCCAGTGTTGTTGCAAAGCGCGGGCCGGTTGGCTCTGGTGTTGGCGTCTTGACGGTTGCGCTCTCGCCCTTGAGTGCGGCCATCCTCGCCTTCATCGCCTCCATTCTTGCCTTAACATCTATTGCAGGAGGGGCGGCCGCAGGGGGAGGAGTGGCTGAGGCGCCATTAGCAGCCTCCCTTTTCGCAGCGACGCGGGCAGCAATCTCGGCGGCCTTTGCTCTTGCTGCCGCAATCGCGTCTGAAGCCTTTGCGCGCTTTGCATCGCCATTGGGCCCCTGGCCTTCGGGGTGGGGGCGCTTCTCGACCATGTTCATGTAGGCGGCGGGCGATATGGTGAGGCTGCACTCGTGGTGTGGCGGAGGTTGCGGGGAAGAGAGAGAGTCGTGCGGCCAGTGATGGGTCGTGATGCGCTTGATGGGGGGTGTTTGTGGTTTTGGGGGAAATGGGGGAGGATTTTGCGTATGGACGAGGCCAGTGAGAGCGAGCGCGGTGTTTTTTTTGGAGCAGCACGATACACGACGTTGGGCGGTGTCGTGGGTGATGATGATGATGGGGGGGGGGAGGAGAAGGTGGCCGGCGGAGGTGACGCGAATTGGCGACAACAGGCTTGGCATAACTTTATGCCGGCAGAACCGCGGCTGGACTTTTTCCTAGTCCCAAAATTTGTCCCCGCAAGTTTGCAGCTGTTCAGTGCAGCTGTCTTCCTCCAGTCCAGCCATAACGCCTTTGCGCGCGAATTGACGGCGACGAACACGCGCAAGAGGAGAAGGAGGCCCCAGTCGCTAACATGAATACACACCAGCCCGTCTCGTCTGCCATTGAGGGCGTCGAGTTTGGCTTCCTCGCGGCCAGCGACATCCGCGCGCTCTCGGTGAAGCGCATCACCAATCCGACCACCTTCGATACGCTGCTACACCCTGTGGCTGGAGGTCTACATGATGCTGCACTCGGCGCCTTCCTCGACAACCCGTAAGATATTCCAGTGCTGACATGCTGTCACGTGAAGCATCCCTCAGCTGTGCTAACACTGCTGAAGATGCACCACATGTGGCCTCACGACCTTTCTCGGCTGCCCTGGCCATTGTGGCCATATCGAGCTGCCCGTACCGGTCTACCATGTCACGTTCATGGATCAGTTGCTGCGGCTGCTGCGCGGCAAGTGCGTCTATTGCCATCAGTTCAAGCTTGCCCGTGTACAGATCAACGAATATGTCTCGAGGCTGCGATTGATTCGATGTGGGTTGGTCCGGGAAGCAAATGAGATGCATGAGCACATCGACATCAACAAGGGCAAGACTGGCAAGAAGAATGTGCAGGACTCGGACTCTGACGACGATCACGAGGACATTGTCGGACAACGAAACAACTATGTCAAGAAGTGCATGAAGCGCGCGGGCATTTCCAAGCATGATGCGCGGTCGGTGCGCGAAAAGAATGACACCATTGCAGAGGCGCGGAGACAAGTGCTGAAAGAATTCTATCAGCAACTCGTGGCAGGCAAAAAATGCAGGAATTGTCAGGGTATCAATCCAACATACCGCAAAGACCGAGGCATCAAGGTCTTCCAAAAAAATCTCAGCGCAAAGGAGAAGGCGCAGATGGCTGCAGCTGAAAAGCGTTTTTCTAATCCTCTAGACATCTTGGCCCGACGAGAAGCAAAGGCGAAGAAGCAGACTGTGCATGCCGATGAGGGTGTAGCAGATCTGGATCCACAAGATGAGGAGGATGATGAGGGCATTGATCTGGATGACATGCAAGAAGCCGATGGGTCACTAGTCGCAACAGAGTCGCGGACTACGAAAAGGTCAGGGACGGCCGTCGATTCTGGGGATAACGCCCAGGAATATATCACAGCTGCAGAAGTCAGGGCGGCCATGGTCCTGCTCTTCGAGCACGAGTCCGAGATGGTACGCCTGCTATACAGTCCCTACGGCTCAAAGTCACTCGTCGATGTGACCGCAGACATGTTCTTCATGGAAGCCATCATCGTACCACCCAACAGATATCGCCTGGAAGATAAGACTGGAGACTCGATTGCTGAATCGCCCAAGAATTCGCTTTACAAGGCCATCCTGAATGCTTGCGAATCCATGCGCCAGATCAGCAATGAAATGAAGGGCCAGGCGAACGAGGGTGGATACCGACAGCGGAATTTCGATGACCTCCAGACGCAATGGGTGACTCTACAAGGTTCGGTCAATGCTTTGATTGATCGCGATGCGAACCCAGTACAGGGCCGAGCCGCCGCCACCACCGCAGACGGTATCAAACAGCGTCTCGAGAAGAAGGAAGGCCTGTTTCGTAAGAACATGATGGGCAAACGTGTCAATTTTGCTGCCCGTTCTGTTATTTCGCCCGACCCCAACATTGAAACCAATGAGATCGGTGTTCCGCCAGTCTTCGCCATGAAGCTTACCTACCCAGAGCCAGTCACCAATCACAACTTCTATGATCTAAAGGAGGCTGTACTGAACGGGCCAGACAAGTGGCCTGGAGCGCATGCCGTTGAGAACGAATTTGGACAAGTCATCTTGCTCAAGAAGAAAAACTACGAGGAACGACTGGCATTGGCGAACCAGCTGCTTGCACCCTCAAGCTCTTACTCGAATGGGTCGAAGAACAAGAAGGTGCACCGGCATCTCAATAACGGCGATGTTGTGATTATGAACCGCCAACCGACTCTGCACAAGCCATCGATGATGGCCCACAGAGCTCGCGTACTTCCAGGCGAAAAGACGATTCGCATGCACTACGCCAACTGTAACACCTATAACGCTGATTTCGATGGTGACGAGATGAATATGCATTTTCCTCAGAATGAGCTCGCTCGCGCTGAAGCTATGACTGTCGCAGACACGGATCATCAATATCTTTCGGCAACTGCCGGTAAGCCTTTGCGTGGTCTGATTCAAGATCACATCTCCATGGGAGTCTGGCTGTCGAACAAGGATACCTTCTTCACTCGTGAAGAGTATCATCAGTTACTGTACTCTTGCCTACGACCCGAAGATGGTCATACTACGTCGGGTAGGGTCGAAACCGTAGAGCCTGTCATCTGGAAGCCACGTCCGCTCTGGACTGGTAAGCAGCTCATCACCACTGTTCTGAAGAATATCAAACCTGCGGAATACCAGCCTTTGACACTTGTCTCGAAATCCTCGACCCAAGGAGCACTCTGGGGATCGAACAGTGAGGAGAACAACGTGATTATAAAGGATGGTATGCTACTATGCGGTATCATGGACAAGGCTCAGATTGGTCCTGCTCCTGGTGGCTTAATCAATGGCATCTTTGAAGCTTACGGTGAAACAATTGCTGGACGAGCTTTGAGCATCATTGGACGACTCCTCACCAAGTTACTCCATATGCGTGCATTCTCCTGCGGCGTCGAAGATCTAATTTTAACAGAAGAAGGAGATCAGGCGCGTTTAGCAGAGCTTCGAAAAGCCGAGAAAGTTGGGTTTGAGGTGGCAGCCAAATACGTTACAATGGACACGGCAAAGATCGATGCAAACAATCCAGAGCTCCGCCGACGTCTCGAAAGCGTTCTTCGCGACGATACTAAGCAACATGGATTGGATCTGCTCACGAATACCGCCAACGGTCAAATTTCTACCGCTGTCACTGCTGCCTGTTTGCCGAACAAGCTCATCAAAGCTTTCCCCAAGAACCAGATGCAAGCTATGACAGGCTCCGGAGCTAAGGGAAGTATGGTCAACGCCAATCAAATTTCCTGCAATCTTGGTCAGCAAGTTCTGGAAGGTCGGCGAGTACCGATTATGGTCAGTGGTAAATCGCTACCATGCTTCAAGCCCTTCGAGACGAGCGTTCGTGCAGGTGGTTACATTGTCAACCGTTTCTTGACTGGCATCCGACCCCAAGAGTACTATTTCCATATGATGGCTGGCCGCGAAGGTTTAATCGATACTGCAGTCAAGACATCGCGTTCCGGGTATCTTCAGCGCTGTATCGTCAAGGGCATGGAGGGACTCAAGGTTGAATACGACACATCGGTCCGCGATTCAGATGGTTCCATGGTCCAGTTCTTGTACGGTGAAGACGGTCTGGACATCACGAAACAGAAGTACCTCAAGGATTTCAAGTTCCAGGCACAGAACTTTTTGTCTCTTGCTCAAGCACTGCAAACTCAAGAAGCGTTCGCGCAAGTCTTCAGTCCCGAGGCGGCAGAACACAACAAGAAAGCAGCCAAGAAGGCTCGAAAGGGCGATGTCACGGCTATGGATCCAGTCACGGCGCTCTACTCGCCTTCTCGCTTCAGTGGCAGTACATCTGAGGCATTCCTGAATGCAAAGAAAGAGGCCAGTAGTACAAGTTAGTCCCACGTGAGAGCCCTACTAACAGATTACAGTACTGTGAAAAGAATCCGGACAAGTTGCTCAAGAATAAGAAGAAGGACCCAGAAGGTGAGATTCTGAAGAAGAGTTTCGAGCAAATGCTGGACCTGAAGTATCTCCGATCGCTTGTTGAGCCTGGCGAAGCAGTAGGCGTCGTTGCTGGCCAGTCGATCGGTGAGCCTTCGACACAGATGACGCTCAACACTTTCCATTTGGCTGGTCACTCCGCAAAGAACGTCACGCTCGGTATCCCACGTCTGCGAGAAATCGTAATGACGGCTAGTGCGAAGATTTCCACGCCTGCTATGCAGCTTTTCCCCCACCCAGAGCTCTCCAAGAAGGACAACGAGAAATTTGCGAAGAGTATCTCTCGTCTGCCACTCTCTTCTGTTTTGGACAAGGTCACCGTGACTGAGACTTCTGGGCCGGGTACACAATTTTCTCAGGCAAGGAGCTATAAGATCCGCCTCGACTTCTACCCTTCCAAGGAGTACACTCAAGAGTATGCCATCAATGTACGCGACGTCGCAGAGTCCATCGAACAAAAGTTCACTCCGCGTCTCCAGAAAATCATACGTGCAGACTTGAAGAAGAAGGGAGAGAACAAGTCATTGTCTACAGCCAAGTCCGCCGGTATTCCCACAATCGGTGAGGCTTCTGGTACCACTGAACAGCAAACTCTCCATGGTGGTGACGAGGCGGTCGATCGCGAGGGCGGTCGTGATGACGATAACAGTGACGATGGAGAGGGCGAAGGCGACACAACTGCTGCCAAGGAACGAGGCAGACGAGACGACAGTGTCGGCTACGAAGAGCCTGAAGAGGAAGAGCAGGCCTTCAACGACAGGCTCGATCGCGAGGAAGCCAGCGAAGATGATGAAACTTACGGGGGTAGTCCCCGGCCCTCGCGCGCAGCTACTCCCGAATCCGACTCTGACGATGAAGACGAACAAATGCTCGTCCCTAGCGACGAAGCCTCGGATATTCGCAGAGACCGCATCATGAACAAGAATCCCGACGTCTTCGACTTCACCTTTGACGACCGCAAGGGCGCTTTCTGCGAGATCACCTTTGAATTCTCGACGGCTACCCCTAAGCTCCTGATGCTGCACCACGTCGAATCCGCCGCCACCTTTGCAACCATTCACGTCATTCCCGGCATCACCGCCGCGCAATTCGCCGCAGAAGGCGACGAACCCGTCATCAACACCGACGGCAGCAATCTCCTCGCCATGCGCGAGTACTACCACATCATCGACGTAAACCGCATCTTCACCAACGACATCGTCGCCATGCTGCAACTCTACGGCGTAGAAGCTTGCCGCGCGACCATTGTCCGCGAAATGCACGGCGTCTTCGCCGGCCACGGTATCAGCGTCGACCAGCGCCATCTCAATCTCATTGCCGACACGATGACCAAGGGCGGAGGCTTCACACCCTTCAACCGCATCGGCCTCAGAGGCAACGTCAGTCCGTTTATGAAGATGAGTTTTGAAACCACGGTTGGCTTCCTCAAGGACGCAGTGCTAGAGCGCGACTGGGACGATTTGAAGAATCCTAGCGCGAGGATCGTGGTGGGCAGACTTGGTGGGATTGGCACTGGCGCATTTGATGTGCTTGCCCCGGTCCGTGTTGTTGATCCGCTGAAGCAGGCGGTTGAGGAGGTGGAGGAGGTGGTTGAGGGCGTGGAAGAGTCGGCGGTGCAAGACGAGGAGGAGGATGATGTCGAGATGAATGATGCGTAATCTGCTAGTGAGGAGAATATTAGAGAAAGAAACGGAAGCAGGGACGAAAGCCATATCCGTCTCCACACAAACGTCATGAGCGGGTACGTTTGCATGTAATGTATACAGGGCGTTTTTCTCAGCTTGGGCGCATGGCAAAGGCGTTTTTGATCCAGGTTGTTACTGTATGTAGAAGCCTATTGTCCTTGCACAGAAAAAAGTGTTGATACTGGTTACTAGACTTTTTTTTGCCCTTTGATGCTGTTGTGCGGCATGGTACCGATTATGCGATTGCGTGCTTTGCCGTGTGTTGTTCATGTTCTTTTGCCTATGTATATAAAGTGGATATGTCAGAATGGGAATGGGGAATCAGGCATCACAGCTGGTAGTTAGCGTGCCGAGAGGACGATATTGCCCCCAGGGAAAGGTTCTCCAGCTGATTGAATGGCAGCGAGTGAGTTGAGTTGAGTTACCCAGTCGATGGATTTACAACAAGGAACGCCTGATCGAACCATTTCGTCTCATCACCTGAGATCAACGCGGCTACTTAGAATCACTCATCTCGATGTCAGAGTAGTATCAAAATGCAAGCTCATAGATATAATCATATATACCAAGTAAATATCTACAATGAAGAATCTCCGCTGTACAACAGCACCGTCGCCCCTTTAACAGGTGAACTTCTTGGGACCAGGGATAATGTACTCCGAGGCTAAAGAAATGATTAGCATGCATAATAGTAGATTTATCGGAGGCCTCTACACATACGCTTGTAAGCATCATACACAACGCCAGGATCCGTGGGCTTGTATGCGCCAGGGAAACCAACGAGGCCACTTGGTGTAGTGTTTCCACCGCCCGAGACCTTCAGTTGATGGCAGCCAGGGTAGAACTGGGCGCCGGGGTATTGGTACGCGGCGTGCAGCGCGAGGATCTCGTGGCGGACGAGGTAATAGCCACTGGGTATACACTTGGGGATGGTGTAAGTGACGAAGCCGCCAGCCACCTGAAGAGCATCGGAAGCCCAGACGTCAGAGGTTCCTTGACGACCCTCTTCTTGGACCTTGAACCAAACAGCGCTGATGTGGCGGGTTAGCATACTGATGTTGGGGGAAATGGAATGGATCTAGCTTACGAAGACTCTGGCATCCAGTCATTGCAACCAGTGTCTGGGCACTTGGCCATGTAGGTGATTGTAGGACCCATGTGGCTTTCAGGCCAAAGTGTCCAGTAAAGGTTGACATCAGAGCCAGCAGCCGCATCCGCGTGTAGAGCAGCGGGCTTGGATCCATTGATGCCACCAGCGGCGTAACCACCGCACTGAATATCAGAGATGGCGACATCCTCGATTGGCCCATTACCCTGAATCTCACGAGAAATACGCTCAGGCTTAGGGCTCATGTAAGGGTCCTGGTAAGGCTGGTAGAAGGTGTACTCCTTGCCACCAATAGTGGCGTTGTTGACGTAGCCGTGGCCAGCAACAGCGGTAGCGAAGACGAGGGCGGAGGTGATATACTTCATTTTGTAAGACTGCGTAAACGTACGAGCCGGCGTAGCGAATGGACAAAGGTGGGGTTGGTGAAACGAATGTTTATAAGTTGGACTGAAGAAGTGAACGAATGCGATGCTCCGGTACTGAATGACCTGAACGCCGAAGTATATTGCGTGAGGCCATGGTCTTATAGTATCCTCATGTAATTATCCTGGGACTGAGGATTCTTCGCGGCACCCAAGTAGGCATTGTTTGAAACTGCCCTGCCAAGCATGCCTGCAGGTGTGGAAATTTGGATCACTGAGGTCAGGAATGATTTGGGAGATGGATTATTAGATTGTATCTACTACGATCGGACTTATATATATAGAGCTTCAGCTACCCTTACTAGAAGGTAAATAATTAGTAAACCTTCCTTACTAGAGCTCCTGCTTTTTATTAGGCACTTAGCAGTAAGCTAGCAGTTAATTAGATAGTAGGTTATATAGGGGTATTAACTAGGATTAATTAGGATTAATTAGGATTAAGATACTCTATAATCTAGTTAATATCCCTCCTGCAACACACCCCCTAGGTATAGGTAGATCTTTTATTATTATAGTTACACTTATAGTTAGTAGGTAGTATAGCTAATTAGAGTATTATATATCTAAAGGGTTAAATTAGCTTACCTTTTAGATACTAACTAGCGTGCCTTCCTTATTTAGCCTACGCTTACGCGTGTAGATATTATCTAGATAGAGCTTTATAACTCTATTTACCTAACTATAATCTTTTACTATAGCTTAAGTTATAAGATTATATAACTTTAAAGATCTAAACTATACCTATATCCCTACTAACTTATATTTTAGTTAAAGTTAAAACCTACTACTTATACTTACTCTACCTATACTACCTTTATTACCTTCTATATAGCTAAAGCTATAGTTACTAAAGCTACTACTACTAAAGAAAAGCGTGCTACTACTAAGCGTAAGGCTATTATAGAGTATATAGTAGCTAAGTATATAGCTACTACTACTATAGCTAAGATTATAAAGCTAAGGTAAGGCGCTCCTACTCTAGCTCCTACTACTCTAGCTCTAACTCTAGCTCCTGCTCCCCCCTAGACCCTGCCTAAGGCCCCTGCTCCTATACCTACTCCCTCTCTAGCTCCTAAGGAGACCCTAAGATTCTCCTACTATAGAGAGCCTAGTATTTATTATACTAAAACTTATTTAAATTATTTATACTTAGCACTCTTTAATAAGTCTAATAGTAAATACTATAACTCTTTTAGTAGGGGGACTTAGTACTAGTAGTGCTTCTCTAGGTATAGCTATATCCTAATATATATAATCTATATAAGAATTTTTCCTTTATAATACTTTTAGTAAGATCTTATACTAATAAACTAATAGCCCTAAGCTTACCTAATACTCTATACTATCCTTTCTAGTAAGGAAGTAGGTAGGTAAGAGCTAAGACCTTCTTAAGGATAAGAAGTAAAGGGTCTTAGTGCTCCTTAAGGAGAGCAAGGCTAAATAGCAGGAGCTAGTAAAAGCTACTACTACTACTACTAAGCTTGCGCGTAAGGCTACTTCTATAGCTAAGGGCACCTAGAGCTCCTTATTAGAAGATAAGGACTCTAGCTCCTTTAAGGTTCCCCCTATAGATCCTAGGATAGGGTAACCTAGGTAGCCCCCTATAGACTCTAAGGCACGCTTTACGCGCGTAATAGAGCTCCTTAGGGAAGCTACCTAGTTAATAATAGAGAGGTAGGCTATAGTTAGTTATTTTTATATTATATATTAATAGATCTTATATACTACCTTACTTTAATTAATACTATATAATATATACTCTACTATTATATAACTTTAGGTACTCTCTAAACCTTATAAATTATTATATAGTTAGGTTTTTAGTAAGCCTATTAGCTAGTATATTACTAGTAGGTAGGTAGGTAATATAGAAAGATCCCTTTATATACTCTTACCTAAGCTATATATTTTAAATATCTATATAGCGTAGCTTAGTAGTAATCCTTTTGTTATTACCTACTACTAACCTAATAGTTTATTAATTATTATAATTAATTATCTAGGTAGTATCTAAAGTAAGGTGTATTTTAGTTAAAAAGTATTTTAATACTATTACTTCTTTACTTACTTGCTTAAGCGCAAGGAGCTCTACCTTAGTAGTTAAAGTAGTAATAGTTAATTATTAAGCTACCTTCTAAATAATAGGTCCTCTAAAGAGCGTGATTAGGTATCTATATAATAATTACTAAGTATTAATATTATTAGCAAATAACGTATTACTATATATTATAAGCTTATTAGGATCCCTATTCCTATATTAGATTAATTAGTATTAAGTTTAGTATAGATAGATAATTACTTAATTAACTGTATTAAAGTGTTATTTAGATAGGTTAGTAAGGTATTAGGAGAGCTAGGAGGCTATATAGGTAATATTAGGGCGCACTATAATTAAGGTGTAAAGGATTAATTTAACGCGCTCCTAATAGTCCTTAATCTCCTTTTTAGTGGCTTCTCTAGTGCTCTTTTTAATATCTTTACTTAATAGTAGTGTAGTAGGGAATTTTCCTATCTCTACTAGATTAAATTTCTTTGCAATCTTGTTAATGTATTTATTATAAATAAGTGTTATTATCTGTCTCTTTCTATCCTAGATTACTCTTACCCCTAGAAACTAGCTTATAGGTCCCTTCTCTTCTATAGTATATCTTTGCTTTAGAGCTTAGATAACCTTATAAGCTTAGCTTGCGTAGTTTTAGTAATAGAGTAATAGGATATTATCTATATAGAATATTAACAAGATACTGCGATCTCTATTAAAGAATAGGTATAGCTTCTCTTTAGAAGTAATAAGCTTATTTTCTTAGAGTGTAGTTAAGAGCTTATTATACTATAATAATAGTAAGTCTTTTAATCTATATAGAGCTTGTTTAAGCTTAACGCACTTCCTAGGTATTTAATATCCTTTAGGTAGCTTATAGATAACTATAGGGTGTTAATCCCTTAAGGCGTTAAGGAAAGCTCTAACAACGTTATATTAATATATCTTAAGGTTAAACTTAGCTCTAATAGCTATTATAGTCCTAAAGGTTTAAGCTACTAGAGTAGCTGCGTAGGTTAAATAAATTAAGTTAGTAAGCTATAGATCTCCTTTTACTACTATCCTTGCTTTGCACTTAATTAGGTAACTATCCTAATTAAGCTTGTATATAAACACCTATTTAAGTAGGAGTAGATACTCTCCTTTAGTTAGCCTATTAATCTCCTCCTAGGTACTAGCTTTTAGTAGAGTATTAATTTCTTTATATACTACGTCTCTAAATTACTATCCTATTTAGTAGTTATAGAGATCCTTCTATTATTTTAGCTCTTTTTATAGAGCGTCCTAGTGCGTATTCCTTTTAGGGGTTTTAGGAGATTTACTCCTTATTACTACTATAATTATAGCGTAGATTATAGCGTTTAGTTTAGGATATACTAAAAGATTATATAAGGGATTTCTAATTAGATCTATATCTAATAGATCTATTACTATATATATCCCTATACTTGTAGAGCCTCCTAGTAGTTTATTAGGGTCCTATCCCTAAGCTTGCTTACTAACACGTGTTAGTGGTAGTCCTTTAACTTATAGTTTTCTGCTTCTTCTAGGAGCTCTAGGTGCCGCTTGTAAGGGATCTACAGGAGATATAGAATCTAGTCCTAAAGCAGGTAGGTAGGAGCTCTGCTTACTACCCCTATAAGAGCTAGATAGGGTGCCCTTACTTATCTCTATGCTCTTATAGAGTAACCTACTAATAGCACTCTTCCCTCTAGGTCTTTCCTAGGAGCTACCTATTATAGCGTTAAAGTAAGTTAGATTACTACTATCTTAGGTAGTATAACCCTAATCTATAACCTATATAGATCCTTTATCTCCTATACTAAAGTTTAGTTCTAGTATTAGTTTAGAAGTTTAGAGCCCTATTAGCTTAGGGGACTTTATATAGATCCTTTATACTAAGCTAGCTATACTTAGTACCTACGCTAGAGGTGTCTGCTTAGGGGGTTGTGAATTACTAGGCTAGCTAGCCTAATTATCTACCTCCTCTAGCTCTACCCTACCCCCTAGCTCCTACGCTAGGTTTAGTCCTCCTTGCTTACTAGACTCCTTATATTACTCTGCTATAATATAAAGCTAATTAAAGATATTAAGCTCTTTATATACTTCTCCTATATTATAGATCTTATCTTTACTAATAATATTAACTATCTTTTAAGCCTCTAACTATTAAAGCTACTCTAGATCTTTCTCTTTATAGAAAAGATCCTTATTAAAGGTAATATTCTACGTTATAATAATCTAATTAAGTAAGGGGATCTATATCCTATATATATTAGATGCTCTATATCCTACTAGATATCTAATATAACCCTAAGGGTTTACCTTAAAAACCCTCTTATAACGCCTAGCTACTTAATCTCTATTAAGGGGGTAAGCTTAATAGCTATAGGCGTATATTCTACTCTAATTAGGGCAGAGATTAGTAGTTGCCTCCCTAATCTACTCTAGTTACTACTACCTAAAGTATCTAGTAAACTAATAATCTAGCACTTTATTAGGTGATATTATATTATAAGTATAGGATAGGCTTATATTATAGAGCTAAGTTGCTACTTTAATAATTTTAGGCTAGAGCTTTATTAGTAGGTTAGCACTAATCCTTATTTTAATTAATTTTATTATAATCTCCTACCCTACTCTTTCTGCTCCTCTATTAGGTTTATAGGTATATATAGGTAAGCTCTTAATTTTAATACTATTATTAGCTACCTAGATCTAAAAGCAAGATTTGCCACGCTAAGGGAGTGTTGCAATATTATTATCTTGTATAATCTTAACTATACTAAGCTTATATTAGTTAAGTATTAAGCTCTTAAAATTTTTAAATACCTATATAATCTTATTAAGGTTTTTAGCTTATAGTAGATAGGTATAAAGCTTTCCTAAGTAGTTACACTTTAATACTAAGATCTATTACTTATAAGCTATACCTGTTAGCATGTTAAATAGATCCTATAATACCTAGTAGTATAGATATAGTAATCTTTCCCTTAGTTATCTTAATATAACCTATTAGGTATATATAATAGTGTAGTGCTTGTATTTGCTCCTAGGAGTTCCTTTAATCCTAATATTTATTACTAACTTAACTAGAGCTTTAAGCGCCTTAGGTCCTAAATAGCCTAATTATTAGTGCTAAAGCTCCTTACTATTATATCTTAGGTAAGTTGTCTAGGATTGCTAGGGTTATTTAGGTACTATGCTTTAGATTATTTAATAAGGGGTAGAGGGCTTATATTCTAGGAAAGTTAAGTTAAACTTGCGTAGTAACTTAGCTAATACAACGCTCTTTCCTAATAATCTAAACTATAAGGTAGCATCTAGCCTAAGGAACTAAACTCCTACTTTAAGTAATTAAGCTTCTAATATAATATTTATATAAAAACCTTCTACTAATACTATATTAGTAAGCACTAAATCTTCTATTTTTAGACCTCTTAGTCTATTAAGAGTATTAGGGATTACTCTAGTCCCTCTGCCTAAAATTAGAAAAGCTTAAGTTCCTGCTTTAACTATCTTATATTTAACTAATCTAAACAAGCTTTCTTCTAGGTAGCTTATATTATTAACTAGGTGCACTACACCCCTGTTATTAAAGATAGTGCTCTTTAATAGAGTGTAAGCTTTAAAGTCTATAGTTAAATAGATCCTGTTTGTTTTCTCTGCTATTAACATAGGGTTAATTAGTGCCGCCTAGATACTGCCTAGATAGGTGATCGCGTTTTCTTTTGCCTTACTACTATAATCTTAATTAATAGGATAGGACTTAATTAGAGCTTTTCTTAACTCTTTAAATTTTAGATTCCTATTAATCTTTTTCTTAATCTCTAATTATTAAGTAGTAGTAAGCTTATTACCTATATTAGTCTAAGCTTTAATAATATTTTTGTATTTAGGAGGTTTCTATAGGTAAGATCTACTATATAGGTATAAAGACTCCTTCTTTAGTTAACTAGAAGGTAGAGCTCCTATTATTGTAAACACTCTAGGACCTTTAGAGCTTAATCTTATATTATTTTCTTAGAGAAGTAATAAATAGATCTTAGTAACCTATAGGAGGTTATAAGTTAGCTCTCCTATTACTAACTTTTTAATAATCCTTTAAAACATATTTTAACCCTAATCTAGTAAGATCCTAGTAGATAGAGCTTTAAGATAATCCTATACTATAAGCTATCCTTTAATATTAGGAATATTATATACCTTAGCTTGCGTATATAGGATTATCTACTCCTTCTACTAGTAATTAGCGTCTTAGCTACTTATCTTTACCTTAGCAAGATAAGCTTTATACTATAATCTTGCTAGTGTTATAGCGCTTAAGTTAGTTAGCGCTAGGTTATTATAGAGCACTTAGATAAGTGCTTAGAGGGTTACTCTTCCTTAATTAACAAGCTCTATATAGGCTAGGGTAAGGATCCCTTAATCTACTATATTATTAACCTATATAAAGAGGTTCTAGATTACTAATAACTTTAATACCTAGTCTAATAAGTAGGCTTAGTACTACACTATTTAGAGTTTATACTACTTGCTTATTATATTAGATAGCGCGATATCTATTAGCATGCTAGGCTTAATTAGTTTATTCTTAAAGTAGTTTTTAGTATCTAGAGCCTTAGGGTCTACCTCTACCTAGATCCCTTTAGTTAGGGCATAGTATCTAAATTAAATATACTAGGTAGGCTAGTTAGTTAATCTAGTAAGTAGGATATCCCCCTTTAGGATTTAGTTACTTATAGTAGAAGAGTAATAAATAAGCTTCTGCTTAAGAAATAGTATAAAGAGTAAAGCTTGCTAGCTTAGTGTCTAAGTTAAATAATACGCTTAAATAGATAGGACAATCTTTAATAAGGTAAAGCGCGAACTAGGCTTATAACTATAGAAATTTAGATTACTAAGGTTAGGAATAATTTAGGAGATAGATTATTAGATTATATCTACTATAATTAGACTTATATATATAGAGCTTCAGCTACCCTTACTAGAAGGTGAATAATTAGTAAACCTTCCTTACTAGAGCTCCTGCTTTTTATTAGGCACTTGGCAGTAAGCTGGCAGTTAATCAGATAGTGGGTCATACAGGGGTATTGACCAGGATTGATCGGGATTGATCGGGATCAAGATGCTCCGTGATCCAGTTGATATCCCTCCTGCAACAGCAGGTAATCATGAAGGGCGCTTCATAGATGAGACCACCGAGCGCCAACGACCCATATAATTCTTGGCTCTGACTTGAATCAGGCGGAAAAGCATACATGCTACATATGCTATCAACATGTACATTCATGTAACATGATACTGCGTTGAACTTGCAGGACCAAGGTTTGTGCTCGTCTCAAACAACACGCATTTCATGGGGATGATGAGGACTTTTACATGACCATCTTTCCTTAGAAGTTTCCTTCAATGAAGATGAAAACAGCCATTCGCCAAGATCAGTGGCTGTCGTTGAAACAAGGCGGATCCTCGAAACAAGCTGTGGATATCGTGGCAGGATTACCCCTGTCTGTCATCGTTCGCGCAGACACAGCGGCTTGGTACTCAAATCGCGAACTGCACGTCATGCGCGCCTATGAGACCGGGAAATTTTGTAAGTGGATCGGAGAAAATATATTGACCTGATGCAGGCAGTAAGCCGGGTTTACGGTGACGATGGTGCGACCATTTAGACGAGGTCACACGCGACAATTTAAGTGTGGCAGTGTGGAGGCAAGTTGTAGAAGCCGATGTAGACTAACGAGACCAGTCAGGAGGATCAAGAGTACCAAAGCGAGATTGCGATACAATAGCCGCCAATGCTTGGTGGGTGAGACGCAGCGCTATTGTGTTGGACTGCGCAAATGCATTGGTTCCAATGAATCGTGCCTGTAGGTAACATGACATCGTCATTGTTTGGTGGAAGGAAAGGCTGCTTTCCAGTCCGTGAACAGATTCCAGATGAGCATTAGATTGGTTTCATACCATCAGCGGGTCAGCATAAACAATGTGCGGCGATATGCTGGTTTCTCTCAGAGTACTGAGCCACATGCCTGAGCTCAGGTGCGACTTGCAGGGTTCTTTAATCTCCTTGACGGTGTCCAAAGTCGGGCTCCGCTTCCCATCTCTTGACGCCATCAGGAATGGGTACGACAGCACTTTTACAGAAGATGTGCATTGCCCCTTTCCAGTCGAGGCCTTCTAGTAGACCGCCTTTCACTGCGACAACTTCGGGATAGCCACCTTCTATGATTTGCGCATGTAGAATCCGACTGCCACAGGTGCTGCAGAAGTAACAATTCTGTCTCCGTCCACTATCACACTGGCGGACAAAGTGTGACACGTTCGGATTGTCATCAACTCGGAAGAAAGGGAAAATGGCGGATGTCCCGAAGGCGCTGGAGGATTGCTTTTGGCAGTCGATGCAGTGGCAGTGGAAAAGCGTGATAGGTCTCTCTGTAGGCGTGGTGTATTTCACGGCACCACAAGCGCATGCGCCATTCATATCTACTTAGGGGTTTGATGGAGCTTCCAATCGAGTTCTGCGATGGCGTACAGTATTACTGTGACTGGCGGTCACTGAATCCAATGCAGGTAGTTTGCGATGACGTCGTCCACGTGGACAAATATACAGTAATTGCAAGTCACACGACACTAGGTATGTGTGGTCATAGTAGATTTGTTGTCGTATGAGGAGAGTAGACAAGCCCACTGAGTGAATTGGGACAGTGCTTCGTCGTCGAGGTCTCCACAGGGTTGGAGAGGGGAGGAGGAGGAAGAGGAGGAGGAGGAAGAGGAGGAGGAGGAAGAGGAGGAGGAGGAAGAGGAGGAGGAGGAAGAGGAGGAGGAGGAAGAGGAGGAGGAGGTGAAGGTGCTCGAAGGTTCGCGTTGAAGCTTAGGTGGGGCACATAAACATGCCCGCCTGCATTGCAGCTGCCCCGCCATCATCCATTCCGTTAGTACTTCCAAAGACCAGCCCCGAGCGACAACGACCAAACAAACCAATTTATTGACCACAGAAACTACACACCATGGTTATCAATTACAGCAAATGGGTATGAATTTCCAAGGTTATCTACTACAAATGATAGGCCCCCACTAACCACACACAGGATGCTCTGGAGCTCTCCGATGACAGTGATATCGAAGTGCACCCCAATGTCGACAAGAAGTCTTTCATTCGCGCCAAACAAGCCCAGATCCACCAAGAACGTGAACAGCGGCGACACCAGATAAAGACACTCAAGTATGAGCGCATCATCAACGATGGCCTCACGGAGCGCGTCGATCGCCTCCTTACAGCCCTCCGATCGCACAAGCCGGCGCAGGCGGAGAGCAATGGCACTTTGGACGACCAGTTGGTATTCCAAGCAATGATGGAGAGCATGATGGATACCAAAGTCGACAAAGACGGCGGCTCAGACAGGCCACCGCCACCGCCAGAGGGCGTGCACGAGCATATCAAAGACAAGCCGACATACCCACAGATGATGGCAAGCCTGGTTGACTCAGTGAAGAAGGACATTGATGAGCAAAAAAGCGATGAGCCGCGCTATTCACTATTCATTTCCGGTCTGGAGAAGGAGAAGGCAAGGATAGAGGATCTCCAAAAGCAGCTGTACGCGAAATTGGAGGAGCTGGAGAAGGAGGAAAAGAAGCACATCACCAGTGACGATATACATGACGGTTTCAGCTACTCAAGCATACGGAAGGGAGAAGATAAGCCTGACGCATCATCATCAAAGAAGGCAGAAACCGTTGAACTCCTCAACCCGCCCAAACGCCCCGAAGCCTCTCGAACAGACACAGGCGAGTCCTCAGGAGCAGAAGCAGACGTCGAAGAAGGCACCACAATCCACGACGGAGACAATGAAGATGACATCACTGCCTCACCGCTTGCCCAAGCTTTTGCAAAGATCAATGCCGGTGACTGGTACGCGTGCCTGGAGTTCCTCATGAAGAACCCTGAAGTGCTCGCAGAAAAAGAGACAGATGGTCTCCTGGTCGAGGCTTTCAACGCAGAACTCGATGGCAGGCCAAAACATGCACGACAATGTGTCCATCAAGGCCTCCTACTCCAATACTGCAGACAGCTCGGTGGCCGACAAGGCGTAGAGATGTTCTTCAAGCGCATACAGACCAAGGACCACCAGGCAAGCAAGATGTTCAACGACGATGTAGACAGCACATATCATCGCATCAAGACGCGTGCAGCCGAGATTCTCAAGGAGCGCAAGGAGAACCCGCAGTCAGCGGAAGGTGTGGAGCAGATCCAGCTTCATGCCGTCGATCCCAACACTCAAATCACCATCTCCGTACCACCAAAGGAGCCAACATCGTCTGACCCTGAAGAGCGCGCAGCAGAGCAACAAGCACGCCAGATCTTTGAGAACTTTCCGCCTGGTCTGCAGCGTGCGCTGGAGACGGGTACACTGGAGGAAGTGAACAAAGTGTTGGCCAAGATGAGTGTTGATCAGGCCGAGGAGATTGTAGAGCAGCTGGGACAAGGGGGGATGCTTAGTCTGGAAGAGGGAGTAGTGGATGCGACGACTGAGGAGGGGCAGAAAGTCATGGAGGAGATTGAGAAGAACAGAGCGATGCCAAAGAAAGAATAAACATTACCACAAAGTGGTAGGGGTGATGAGAAAGAATTCATGGTATTTGTACGATAGCCCAGAACACGGTATCTACGACTAAAAAAGTTGTATAACACTTTATCGAATAGCAGCTCCCCCTCCACCCCCCTCCAATTGGTCTGATGCCTATCCCCTGATCATCAGACTCCCTTTTCCTCTTTTCTCCTACAATGTAGCACAACTTCTCGTCCTCGACAGCCCAATCATGTGCACATACCGAAACCGTAACTATAGCCGCATGCCCTGAAGTCCAAACCCTGACAACACACGCTTGTTCAAATCAAATCACCAAGATCATCCTCCGCAGCCTTCATCTCGCCGTCGCCCGCAAACGCCGCAAACTCATCCTCAGCCGCACTGCGACTCATCTTGCGCTTCTTGTATGTATTTTGGAATGCCACCTGTTGCCCTTGTACACCTCCATTCGCAGCCAGCGGCACCTGCTGCAGGCTACGTAGCAGATCCTCTGCTACGTGTTGATTAGGCTCGCCGATTGTGGTCGCATACTCGGGCTGCGTGGTGTGTTGGTCCGGCGCCGGTACATTTTGAGGCACCACGGGGTGGGAGACAGGCTCTGGCATTACATCATTGCCGATGTCTGGGACAGGTTCGTGAGTGGGTGCTGCGGCTTGTCGGGGCGAGCCGACGGGGGTGAAGGACTCCATGGGAGGTGGGGTGAGTTCTTCGACTTGGGGGCGTGACTGGGACACGGGCGAAGTTGTGGCGACGGGGAGGGGGGCAGCGGAGATTTTGTTGGTTTCCGCTGCGGAGAGCCCCTTGAGGATGGCGGCTTCAACTTCGCGTTTACGACTATCGATGGCGTCTTTTCGAGTCTTGAGATCGGATAGTTGCGCTTCATCTTGCTCGAGTTTGGATTTGTTTGTTTCAAGGAGTTTCTCGAGTCCTGAGATGAGGGCTTGTCGGGCCTTGATGCTCTCTGCTACTGCGCCTTCGGCTACAGCGAGTTTCCTACATAATGCTGCCAATCCGGCCGCGTGCATGGGTGGGGACAAAACCGTTGCGTTTGGATCGGTGAGCTTCTCGTACTCCTGGTTTGCTGTGCTGACTGCTGGCTTTGTGGCCAGCTCGGCCTTTTGTAGTGTTGTTGCGAGAGGAGCGACGGATGCGAGCTCAGGGGGAATTGAGGAAGCGGAGAAAAGAGAGCCTCCTAGTGCAGGCTTGCGTGTCGATTTCGAACGGTCGAGTTCATCAATCTGCTTCTCGATGTCTGTCTGGATGTTGAGAGCGAACACTTGTCGCTGTCGCCAGACTTCCACAACTCTTCTAATCTTGTTTTGTGTCTCGACAGGGGAGCCTCGATAGGCTATAGCCGTTGCTTCAGCAATTATGGGCTCATAGGCCCGAAGAAACTCTTCCTTCTTACGCATCTTGGAGGTTTGCGTAATCTCATTGGCAAGGTAGATCAAGACCAATTTCTTATTTGGTGATGAGTCTTTCATACGTTGGAGCCATACTTGGGCGATTCGCTCGGCATGTCGTCTATCCACATGTTGTCAGCATTTGTACTAAACTGTGTGTAACAGATGCGTGTTTGCACTGTGTCCTCTGATCATTGCATGTGCAGACATGCTGCGGTCGAGGTTTGGGATGGCATGCGGCATGGAGAAGTCTTACCTGTGGAACAAGATCCATTGGCCAACAGTAGAGATAGCATCCTGGGTCTCATTGAGGGACGAGAGTTTCGCCTTGAGGCTATCCTCTGTGAAGGCCATGCTTCAGATGATCACGTATAGAGTTGCTACTGGTACGCGCCCCACTGGTTGTGGCAGCCTCAAAAAGCACCACGATATGACAATAAAGTATCTAGATAGTACACCCTTCTGATCTCCACTGCAGGCTTGTGGTCGCGCTTTGATAACTGCAAGGACAGATGGTCAAGTGTGAAGTCCGAGGAAGAGCTCGAGGTGAGCACTCTTGCGACGCGCTAGTGACGTTAGCTCTTCGGCGAAACGTGGCGCCGTAACTGCCAAGCGCCAGGAGACAATGACCGCAACCTTGGAACGATGTATTCGCAAGTCATCATCAAGCCGCCATAACAAGCAATTGTCGTGCTTGTCACGTTTCCTCCTTCCCTCTCACCACACTGCGTCTTCACATCCACAATGGCCGACCGGTTCCCATCATTAGATGAGATCGATGCTGGTGAGTGCAACTCCAAGACCCCCGACGCAGCTCCGCATCCCATACTGAACAGACCAGGTCATACGGAAGCGCGCGGTGATGCAACCAACTTCGATCTCGTAGGCGACTCCAACGATAACGCAGACTTCCTCTCCCGTGAGCGCGCACTCCTTGGCGACGATGCGGACCAGTTTGCTTCGGAGAATGATAGAGTAGCTACGGTCGAGGACGGCGAGGACGACTTGCTGGGAGGAGATTACACTGATGCCAATGTTGCATCACAAGAGATGAGTGGTTTCGAGAGCTCATTCCCCGCGATCGACACTACCAATGATGTAAGCACAGCGCCACCTAGTCGAGCAGGACATAAACTCCCACGCAACATTGCTGGAGAGCCCCAAGTGCACGATAAGATGCGCATTGCGCCTCCCAAATCAGCGCCTCGTCTCGCAAAATTGGTGGCGCAAAGCTAACTTCAACAGCACGTGGCCCCAGGTGGCACTATCACCGGCTCTGGACTTCCATTCCTCCCCGGCCAACCCGCACCCTCCTTCACACCCGTGCGCTCCGACTCACCAGAGCCTGATGTCATCCGAGAATGGCGCGAGCGCCGCGATCTTCAGATCCAGCACCGCGATCAAGTATCTGCCGACCGCAAGGCCCAGACAATTAAAGAAGCGCAGCAAAACATCGACGACTTCTATGAGAATTACAACAACAAGAAAGAAAAGGAGATTGCCAAGACACGAAAAGAGGCAGAAGAGTTCCTTGCAAATCGAGACGATACTACTGCCGGTGGCACCAGTTGGGAGCGCATCGCCAAATTGGTTGACCTCAGTGGAAAAGGAACCAAAGGTGGAGCGTCAGGCAGCGAGAAGGCGCGATTCAGGGAATTGCTTTTGAGCTTGAAGAAGGACGAGAACGCACCTGGTGCCACTGGGTACTAGAGCTACGAGGATATGGGTAGATGATGGGGCCGGCATTGGACACTGCCTGGCTTATGGCAGCGAACGGAATGCCCAGCCACGGCATGGAGTTTTAAGGATGAGTTGCAGGGTACCTCGTGCAGCTGTGTTAATACCTTCTTTCTAAGTTACCTGTGTCACCATTCGTACTCGCATCGTTCGCCTATTCCACGCTTCAAATCGCACGTGACTCTAAGGGGCCAATCTACCGCAAACATCCCGTGTCTGCAGACGTGCTACCTTTCCCAAAGTATGGATTTGTCCACGCAATCTTTCGAATCTGCCCGTCCGACAGAATGCTACCTGCGCAGAAAGGAGCAGCGAATGCACAAGCCGGTTTGTTCTAGGTCCCTTGTACATGGATGCTCCTTACTTTACTGACAGTATATATATGCCTCATCTCACGGGCTATTGAGTATCTCAAGGAGAAAATAAAACAGAAAATCTTGTGCAGCGATAAACGCTACCATAACCACAGGGCTGACTGGGTTGTGACTACGGTGGTTGGGTACCTTTTGGAGCATACGTAGCTAACATTGTGCCCACTAGTCTTCTACATGCACGTTCTCGCAATAGTGCGAAACATCTCAGTAATATTATGTAAGCTGACACATTTGTATAATCTATAAGATGCTAGCTAACATGCCTGCACCCTGTAATTAATCTACATCAAATCGGTGCGACCTCTACCCTGAGAACATGGGGTTTAGCCATCTTCCTGCAACCCATACTTGCCCATTGACTCCCTGGATTTTTCGCGTGATGCGCGCGTTATTCGCCAACCCATTGCGAACAGTTATGTTGTAGCCATACGTATTCTGGGCCTCGCAAGCTGCGGCGTCGTACTGGCCCAACCCAAAGCCTAACAGCAACGTACTTGCGCCAAAATTATGTGGCTGGGCTGTATTTGCCAATGTGCCCTGAGGCAAGTAACCCCACGCGCGGTCACCAGGTGCAATAAAGACGGTGTGGGTGTCGTTGCCCTGATTGCTACCGCACGGCGCAGTAGAAAGACGCGCAAGAAAATCCGGGTCATTGTCCCTGTAGAATGTGCACAGGGTCGAGAGTTCAGACTCGGTGCAGAGAATGTCGCCCATGGTCCCTGAAGCTATTGTCACGGGCGCTTGGGCATCGCCTGCAGCGTCGGCGCCGAAATACGTATCAAACACATCCAGCAGGTTGTCAATCTTGTATACGGCACCGTTGGAAGCGTCGATGCGGACGGGTTTCCCTAGAGAGTCTTTGATCACGTGGGCTTGCGTCCCGGCAGGGATCTCGGTGCTTGTGAGGTTGGGGTTCGTGGTGATATCAAGTGCCGAATTGAAGAGGACCGAGAACCCCTCGATCATACGAATTGGCTGTTTTGATTGGGCGGCATCTTGCATCTGCACATTGCCGGGGAGGATATGGGTCCGAAGAATAATGGCTAGGAGTTCATAGGACGATGGCTTTTGCAATTGTGCTAGGTAGCCTGGTGGAAGCTTCTTTAGTGCCTGCGTTCTTCTTGTTAGTACTGTTCCTGCTTGGTTGGTATGAGTGAAATGGTGACTTACTTCATTAGTAGGGGCTAGAATGGTGTATTCGAGGCCTTGCTTTGGATCATTGAAGCGTTGTTCGAATGGAGGACCTGGAATTCCTTGGATACCACCAGTACTCCTGAAAAGTTCGTAGAATTGGGTAAGGTCTGCTGTGTTCTTGAGCGTGGTAAGCACAGGTTCAAGATCTTGCACCTGTGGCAATCTTGGGTCGCTACGCGGTAATGCTCCAACGAGCGCACACGTAGAAAGTCCGAGGATCAGTGAAGTGAGCATGGTGAGTAAATCAGGGGACTGTAAGAGTTGTGGAATTTAAAATTGATAATCTGCAGAAGATGTTGTTGAACTTATAGATTTTGCTAGTGTCTGACACAGCTGATAGTCGTCTGGACCCTTAGGAATCGAGATGAGCGCAAGTGTGTAGCGGCACTTAGTGGTGTTTTACCCTTAGTAGAGTTTTCGCTAATCAAACGAGGGTTCCTGAATTTGTTGATCTACAAAGTAGTAATTTTCTAGGTAGGCACACTTACCATAGTCTAGGATACTTGAAGAGCCTGAGGGGTATACTCATGCGCTCGGGTAGTTTGAGTATCATGTGATTTGCCACTGCTACATCCTGGCTATTTTCATCGCACAAGACAAGTAACGTGATCCTCAAACTAGCCGAGATAACTAGTAGGCCGTAGGGTCGGGGCTTGGCAGGGACCTCCTTGATCACTGTGATACTATCGGACCGCAAGCACATATAATAAATAACATTCTCGCTTCTAGATACCTTTCGTAGCCGGCGAAATCTTTCCGAAAGCCATTATGTTGTACGCACGTTTGGTTAATTTGCTGTTATGAGAGTTGTGAGTGACATGTGGAAGACCGCTAATGCAAAGTTGAGCCGTTACTACACACTGTATGTCCCAGTTTTAGCCGCTCTGACGTAGATATTTGTAAATTGTTTAGAAAACTGTGTTCCATCTATCACGCCACCTCTAGGTAGTCTTGTTGCATTGCGCGTTAGTACAATCTTCCAACGCAGCGTGTTAATTTCATCAATGGCAAACGAAATCATTGTAAAACAATGAACATATTGCGCTTTCCACAATACTACACTTTCAAAACGCTGGGATGTTGATGTTACTCTTCGTGATGATGCTCCTTCAAAATTACCCAAGGCGGGTAGAAATCCCTCTGTTTGGTCCAATCATGAGGGTGGAAGAGGATTCATTGCCAGCTAGTTCAATCTATACGAGAGTAGGCACAGACTGTGTAAGATCTTCGAATCCGTCACTGAGACTTGGCTCTGGTATTTCTAGACCTGGATGTTTTTTCTTTCTGGGAAGCCACTAAAGCCATACATTGGCTCATTGGGCACATGGGAGACGTCTGGATGGTCACGGCTAATACATTTAGCCACACCTTTGCTTTTGATTGAACAGAAGAACACAAGAAATATTGTCCGTGGTAAGCATTTTGTCAAAACTCCGTTACCTACTATGTACTTAGCCATCCGCTTACTGCAGTAGTACTGTTACTGTAACAGTAGGTATGCTATCCTCGTAGCCTCCACCTAGACTAAAAATGGCACTAGCGCCGCGATGCATGTATAGCATTCTATAGCATTCGTATCAGGAGCTTCAACCACCGGACACAACTCTCCAATGACTTAGCTGGATCTAGAAGACTGGCTCTTCTCACTCACTTGTCCCCGCCATTCATGTTACGTTACGGTGGCCAGCCGGACGACAGGGCAGCGTAGCGATGACCATTCCATCTAAGAAGAGCAGCTAATGTGACCAGATGCTTACGTGGAGCCTCATCACATATCATGACAACTGTGGTGTTTGAAGCACTGGTCGGCCCTGCAGTGCTGTCATATTTCGCGACTTGCCATAACAATGTCACTCGATGATGGGCAAGCCTCTGGAGAAGCATGGTGAAATCGAGCTTCAACATTCCAAATGCCCGACGAGTAAAGGGACAATCTATGGTATCCATCTGTCTAATTAAGAGATAAGCAAGTTCTTGTACAACATGATCTTTGCCCACAACATGCATGTCCATCTAAATACGGTATAGTCACACTCGCACTCCGAATCAAACTGCTCCGTGAATCCTACCCGCTCATGCCCACACAGAAGATTCCCAAGGTCATCGACTACTACCACAAGATGCATCCAGCAACTCACTTGACGCACTTGACGCACCCCACAATCTCGAGGCTTGCGGGTCATCTTTTTCCTTCTCGCTGTCATCAGAGCCACATGCTTTGCACAACGTGAGGCATAGCGATTCTTACCTTCCTGTAAGACACTAATATGTAAATCCGGGGTCAACCAATCCCGAGTCCGAGTTCCCGCCTCGAATCCTAGTCGCTCTCAAGAGACTGACACGCGTGCAACACACGTGGACCTGATGTCGGAGACAGAGCCGATCCGGCCGTGCACAAGGGGTGCATTGTCCAGATGTCTCATTGGCCAAGGAAAAAAGAAAATGACGATCGCGCATTCGATGCCAATCCTGCAGCCGGGGCTTGACCCCAAGGAAAAAGCGTCGCATGTGTGACATCAGCTGGGCCCTGTACCGGTATTCACGCTATGCCAGGCCTCGATCATCTACGCATGGTAGCATATACTGACTAGCAGCCGTCTACATATAAGATGACGGCTGTTGTTTTCCTCAGGTTCAAAGAGCGCGCATTGGCATCTCCGTCTTCGATTGCGTCTTTGGGCTCTCGGACACCCATCATCTCTATCATTACGACTATCACTAGTGTTTTCAGCACACACCGGCTCTTCCGCGCCGTTTCGCGACATCAGTATGAAATCTTTCAAGAGGTTTGTTGACAAGCGCCGTCAAAGCTTCCAGAAGAACAAAAGACAGGCCTCAAACTCTGCTCCTGTTCCTGCTCCTGCTCCTGCTCCTATACCTACTCCTGCTCCCGTCGATGCACAAGCTGCCCCAAATGTTGAAGAGCGCGCTGCCGCCCCCGAGGATCAGCAGCAAGTTCTAGCGGAAGCTGCGTCTGGTACTCTGCAAATCGCTCTGCAAAACAAGACCAATTCCGGCGACGTCTACGCATACATCACCGGCCTCGCTCTGGAGCGCAACAATACTCCATTATTCGTGCAGGCCGATGGCCAAAACATTTACTATCCAGCATCTCCCCAAGAGATTCAGCAACCTCTGCAGGCCGATGTGGCGATCCGTCTGGGAGCACCAGGCAATACTGTCAACGTGAGGATACCCAAGATCGCTGGCGGACGTATCTGGTTCAGCATCGGCGCCAGGTTAACATTCAAACTCAACCCTGGGCCTGCAGTCGTGGAGCCCAGTGTAACTAACCCTAGCGATCCGAACTATAACATCGACTGGACCTTTTGCGAGTTCACCTACAACGATGCTCAACTATTCGCCAACATCAGCTATGTGGATTTCATCAACATCCCAATCTCACTGAGTCTTACCGGCACATCAGGCAATACGCAGACCGTGCCTGGTATGGGTCCAGACGGCTTACAGAGAATCGTCAATGAGCTTCGTACACAAGCGCAGCGCGATGGTAGGCCCTGGGACCAGCTGATCTACGAGTCAAATGGCCGTCCTTTAAGAGTCCTGAGTCCGAATAACCTTATGGTCGGGAACGAAAACGCTTGGGGTAACTACTGGGACGGCTACATCCAAGCAGTCTGGAACAAATATCGCAACGAGAATCTTACGATCAACACGCAGGCTGCAGCTGGCAATCTGACTGGTCGCGTGCAGGGCGAGGAATTGCAACTTGGCGAGGCTGGTAATTTCGGTAGACCGTCTGCCCGAGACATCTTCACATGCAGCACTGGACCATTCGCGACTGGCTCCAACCAGGCGCGAAACGCCGTCATTCCTAGACTTGCGGCTGCCTTCAACCGCAGTATCTTGCTGAACACACCTGGGAACCAGTTTCCGAACGGCAGTGACCCGAGCAAGTACTACCAAGACGTAACGACAAATCACTACTCGCGCATCGTACATCAAGTTCAGCGGGATGGGCGTGGTTATGCGTTCCCATACGATGATGTCGTTCCAGACGGTGGCCGAGATGTTGCTGGTACAGTGTTCGATGGGTCGCCACAACTGTTCACAGTCGCAGTTGGTGGGAATTGAGCCATCAGCTCCCAGTAGACGTACATTTGGCGTCATCATGAATTTCATATACCCTTGTAAATTTTTTGTACATGGACCAACGCGGCTCTATCGTTTCGCGGGCCTTCGTACATAGAGTACTATATCAGACTGTTTTGTAAATATCTGCGTGCAGATTGTCAATGGAGACATCGTATAAGTGGGTCGCGATCTTTTGGAATGTCCGTGAAACAAGTCTTACCGAACACGCTAATGAAGTCAGCAATGCTCCAATATGGTAGTGATTGCATGGCGAACTACAGGGTACATCCTACAAGTAGTACCTTCGCGGTAAGGCACATAGGACACCATAGCGGATGAATTACTGAAAGCAGATGTTGAGATGTAGCTTTCGACTTCTGGATCTTTAGTGATTATGAAAGAGTCAATCATCCGTGTGCCCCGCGCACCGGTAATGACTCCGGGCGCGATTAGGGCCGCCTCTTCTATATTGATTATAAATAAATAAAAGTAGCATCATGTCCTACAATTTTCATCTTCCGCCATTTAGCAGTTCCAAACTCATGTTGCCATTGGTGGGAGCCGTCTGATCCTTTCCGCTGATCAATCAATTTCAAGGTCATTTGGAAAGTATGGGCCGAATTAGGTTATATGGTACACAACGACCGAGCTTCAAAAGTGCTTTGTATATAAGATGTGGTCCCAGACTCATGTTATGTTTATTTACCGTACCTGAGGCCTGAAAATCCCCATACCTTTTAGCCTGTTTCACCAACCACCATTATTTCATCATGCGTCTTTCACTCCTTTCTCTCATACCCATCGCTCTCGCGACTCCAGCAGTTCTTCTGGAGCCTGCTGAGAAGCCTGTGTACTGGCTTCTCGCTGGAGACTCTATAACCGCACCAAAGCTTGGATGGGGCAATTCCTTTCTCAATAACACAGTTCCGAGTGGCTCTTTCGGTCACAACTTCGGGCACAGTGGTGCAACAACCGCGTCTTTCAGGACGTCTGGCGACTGGGGTAATGTCACCGCGAACATAGGAACTCACAAGAACCGATTTCGCGTTTACGTGACCATGCAAGTAGGATGATTTATTAAATTTATGGTCATGTATCATACTGACGAAAAGTCTAGTTCGGACACAATGACCAAAAGCCTGATTCTGGTGTTTCACTTCAAGCTTACTCTACAAATCTCGATAATTTTGCGAAGGAGGTAGTCACTGCGGGCGGAACACCTATCTTAGTCACCCCTCTGACCCGGCGCTCATTCAACAGCACGACTAACCGTGTTATCGAGAGTCTATCGAAACAACGCGATATCACCATCTCCGTCGCGAACTCCGGGCATTACCACTTCATCGACCTCAACAAGGCGTCGACAGACTACGTCAATGCGATTGGTTCGAAAGAGGCTGACAAGTACAACTACATTCCTAGCGATCACATCGATCGGACGCACCTAACCAAGGCCGGCGCTAATGTTTTCTCGAGGATGGTGGCCGACTTGATCTTGACAAAATACCCGAAGGAATTCAACGGTTTCATCAAGAGAAACGATACGCTCAGCGCCCTGATTGCAGCGGGCAAGCCTGCCTAAGTAGAAAGGCAATACTTGAAGATGTGGAAAAATAAAAAAGCCGATTCTATTGTCAGCCCTATATCATATCTAGCGGTATGGCTTATATCTAATAGGCTTTTCTCTAGTCCAATAGGTCCTAAATACCACACTCTATCTTGCACAAGTGCAACACTATGCAAAGTAAAAATGACAACGTTCTTCGACACGCTGCAGATGATCGATCTGACGAAACGGTCCGGATGTGCGAGTTCCACCGGAATGTGACTCAACATGCCTATTATTTATGGATACAACCGGCATTATGGTCAGACAGTTGGCATGATAAGCGCTCTGGGCTTGTATATCAATTGATACAAGCCCATCAAGAATGTTCTCTCCAGCATGCTGCTCATATATGCTCCTCATCATACCCACACAACGTACCTAATATCACAGTAGTGGAACCTACACACATTTCACTATGCTCTGCCCTTGTAAGAATTGGGTCACAATAAAGCCACCTGATGATCAAAATCGCGTAGCAAGATCTGCCACGCTCACAATTGTCTCGCCCATCTGCACAGAAATGAGGAATAGTCCGTTTGTAAGGCCCGGGTTCGACATGCAGCTGACAAGAGCGTCTGCATTTATCTCACAGCTTACTACTATACGAAGTCGCTAATGTCATAATGGGCTCGGCTTACAGGATATGAATGATGGTTGAACGAATTATACTTGCTAGTGTAGTTCGGTCACTCATCCATAATAATCAAGCTGACGAGTACATGGCAACACTCGCCATCGAAGGAAGAGCTTTCTACAGGAACTGAGACTTCTAGACTTGTGCAATCTGACCTTTTCCACCTTTCATATGTACAGAAGCAATAATCGCACATGTATGCCCGAGTTCCGGGCCGAAAATCGCTTGGAAGCTAAATCATGAGTTCAGATAAGCAGTGCTTATTTCAAGACGGTGAGTAGACTGATGAAATTTTACTGAGCAAGCTATTCTTGACGCGTAAACAAACTTCATCTGAAGAGATTGTTATCAAAGTTCGTCGTAATTTGCATTTTCTTTATGTCGTTGATGCCATGAGTCACCTAGATGTCTAGACTAATACAGGATGATACGTTATAAACTGGCCACGTTGGAGTGTATTTTATTGCTCTTCGGGCCAATTGATTCACCAATGCGAGCAGTGTCCACTCGGAATTCTGGAACCCGCCGTTACTGGCTCCCTCAGGCTCTGTATAGATTGAATTACAACGGTCACACCGTAGTTGGGCTGGTGTAAGCCCCACTATACATATTTATACCACACGTTAGCGCCTTACTATACCGGTATATAGTGGATAATACTTAGCTAAGAGCTTCCCCTTACTAATTATATTAATCTACCTTTATATTAGCTAATTATTACCTCCTTTAAGACTTCACGGGTAATGATAGAGGTTCGATGGATAGGATGGGACAGTAGGTGTTATTCGATTGTCAAACGAATCGATACCGTCTGTATCGCTTCTCATGGGTATTTATACCGCCCATGATCACGTAATTCACCTGTCCCGGGCCACGTTAGGGCATTCCGGGCCATTGTTGGCCTTGTTCGGCCCGCCGCCCTACTCATACTTATAACCTTTATAATCTAATAATATAGTATGGGGGTGTTAAGGCCCTATAAACTAGCCTACTAGGCTTTAACTAACTAATACCGTATTTATTTTAAGTTAAAGCAGAACAATGTTACAAATTAGGAAGTTTGGTGGGGCCTCCTGCTGAGTAACTAGTGCGGCACGGATATGGATGCAACTTCCGTCCCGTTGACTCTGTGCCCACATTCCCTCCCTAAGCACACTGGAGCCGCACCCACCGCATCCAATGGCAGAAATTGAACGCCCTTCCGCGACCAGAGCGGGTATTGCACGAACATCTCAGGCGTGTGAACGGTGCCGGAGTTTAAAAACGCGTTGTCTGCCGAGTGCAGAAGCGGATAGATGTCAAAGGTAGGCTAAGATCACTGTTAACCCCTTTTCCCAACATACGTTCCTTGTGAACGCGCTTGAAAGTCTTGTCAATGATGCTTACTCTCTTTTAGATGTTGCTCAGCTGATAAAGAGTGTGTTTGGGCGGATGCACCGCGGCGCATCCGTAAACTTCGCGCGCCCTCGTCAGTGACACTTGATGAGCATGAGAGTTGGCAACGCTGCTGACATTATGAAGTCGCATCGCGCAAGTCGAGCAAAAGATCGACGGTCTGGTGGCCAAGCTTGTCAACGCAACCGACTTGCGCTCTGAGCCTCCCGTAGCATCAGTGGAACATCAGCCCGACCTTAGTCGGACTCCCGAGTATGAGGCGCGACGGACGACGTGGGTGAAAGAGAACCACGCTGCCCCAGGAAGCTGGCTACCAGTCGCCTCTTTTGAGCCCGAGACACCATCGACTCAGCAGAACAGCGACCAGGACCCAGGATCTGCGGAAGCTGATGCTCAGTACTTACATGAGCTGCGCAATGTCCACGCCTATGGTGACCATGAAGACGGTAATACAGCACATGCAGGCTTGTTTCAAGCTTCCAAAAGAAGGGAAGCGCCCATTACAGATGAACTCGTACAGCAGTTGCTGTCAACTCATGCTGCTGATGCTCTAGTGAACGAGTATCGTCAGATGTCTGTATCGTTTCCATTTGTTATAATACCGCCTAGAGTCTCTGCCCACGATATTCACGCAAGTAGGCCCATGCTCTTCCTTGCTATCATGACTGTCGCTTCATGGAGAGACACCACCCGTCAAAAGGCCCTCGATCTCATCTATCGCCGGGAACTGGCAACCCGTACGATGGTTTATCCACGAAGAACATTGGGATTAGTGCAAGGTGTACTCGTCTATTTATCATGGTACGTCCTATATTCGTGATCAAGAATATCGCTGACTAGCGAAGGTATCATTTCGTGTTCAGTCATAAGACCCAGCAAATCTTCTTCCTTCACCACCTTGCCATTGGACTTGCTCTCGACATTGGGCTCCACCAAGATTACCAGCCTTTGAACATCGCAAATCGGCCACCACCACCGCCACCACCCCCTGAGGAGCAACGCGAGCGACACCGAGCGTTTTTGGGGTGTTACTATTTGGCGTCAATGTATGTATTGCTTCTCTGATCTTCTACTCGCAAGTATTGAATTAGTACAGGGTTGCAGCAGGTCTCCAGAAGCCCAACCTTCTTAAGCACACCCCACAAATGGTAAGTTAAACTTGCTCCATTGAGTGGCGTCTCTAGCATATTTGATCTGACGATTCCTTGCGCTGCAGACCGAATGGGCTCAAAGTCTGAAGCAAGACAGAGAGTACGAATCTGATGAGACAATCGGACTTCTCATAGCTCTGCGACAGATTGACGACCAGATCCAGGACACTCTGTTCACAGGTAGTGCCCGTGAAACAAACTTGTCAGACCCTCGAACATTGATGCATATGCGGTTCATGGCGGCCCAGTTGGAAACATGGAAAAAGGAGAGTGCCAATGCAGTGTCTCGCCGTGGTATGTTCTCCCATGGACTCTCTCTACCCTCATTAGCTGACATGAACAAAGTACTTGGGCTATCCTCTTCCTTCACGGATATGCTCCTACATGGTGTAGCGCTACGTACGCAGCCATATGACCAAACAGCTATCACTGACTCTGCGCATCTCAGTGCTTTGCTTTCTGCTCTTGAGGCTGGGAAGCAATTTCTCGACACACTGCTTACTTTTCCAGCCCAAGAATATCATCTCATATCATTCTGCGAGTGGATGCGGCTACCGGTGGTCATTATGACTATAGCCCGTCTGTGTATGCCCTCAGATGCACATATCGCTGCTGGATGGGATTATAAGGCTGCCCAGGATCGGACACGACTTGATCTCTGTCTAGAATCAATCTGCTACCGCATGCAAAGCTTGTCTACTTTCGATAAGAGAACGCAGCCACATACCGACTTTTGGCATGTCATGCGTTCCATCAACGACTTAACCCGGACATGGTATTTGCGGAAGATTAGACCAGCGGAAGAAACGTCGGCTCATTCGACGCCTAGCAGTCTTGTTGGACGCACCGTCAGCGAAGCGTCGTGTCCGAGCAGCAGAATTGTGCCCACACCTATGTCACACCAGTCGGAGCAAGGATATAACTCGTTGGCCGGCATCAATTACATGCAGGAAGTTGGCATGGAAGTGCAGGTTGACTCGAGCGATTGTCACGATCCATTCGCGGCGATGAAGCATGTCGACTTTGACATGGAGCAATTCTTTGATATGGGGATTTGGAGCGATCAGAGTTATGTTGGAATGGGCTATGGTGACAGCGGGATGACCTTTTGAAAATGCGGGACGTTTAGGCTGGGCCTTACGTTGTGCGGAGTATGCGTGTTCTGTATAGCACGACTTCTTGATTTTCTATTCATCGGGTCGTTGATCAGCGTAAGGCGATACATCAGCCCTGAAGAGCTCTTTTTGTCCTTTGTTGGATCTATATAGTATTTGCCGGTCCTGCATAAAACAGAAAGGAAGCAGGTTATGGCTGAACGGCCATCTCGTCACGTGACTAGTCCCGCACTTGTCTTTACCTTGACAGAAGAAATCATACCTAGAGCACTGTGTACAAGTATGAAGGGATTTTAGCCAGTCTTTTTATCGTGACCTGCCGCATCATTGACTGTACGCCGATGCGACGGTTGTATAGTAACGCGTCGTCTGATTTATGCGCGTGAGAGGTCCTTGCATGACGTAGCCTCAGCATGTTTCCCTTTTCGGGATTAGGGGCTTCGTCACGCGCGCGTGGCATCTGTAGGCAGCCCAGCAACCATCAACACTTACAACCACTCCGCTATCCACACCTCCCCCTTCCTCGGTATGTCTACATACCATGCCACTGCGTGCTCCCACACATAACATCTGGATGATCTCCTCACGTATACTTTTTATTCTCGGCATCATTTCGCAGGTCGTGTTCTTCGCGGTCATCTTACGTTCTTCTAGCGGTGACTACGATGTGTTTTCGGGAACAACGCCCGCAGCGCCGGCAACAGCTCCCGAACAATCAATAGCAAATGGATTTACGTTGCGACATTTGCTGCATCATGGTGCTGGCCAGCCTGGTCCACGAGCCTTGCGATTAGATTTGACGCCGGATAAGATAGCGGCCGCCGAATCGGGTTCCCAGGTTGGCCCTATTTCCATCAAGATTGCGCCCGTGACAGTGGACAGGCCCGCGATGAGACCCTATAATGCACAAATTCCTATGTCGCCGATATGGATCGCTGAGGATATCCCGGGCCCAGATGTCGGAGATAAGGAGACGATTATCAATTTCGCGAACATGTCTGAGGATGCGTACAAGACGGGCCGTGAAGATCCTGGCTGGATGGATGTCGACGAACAATACAACACTTCGATTCCATTTGGCTGGGACGATAGCGGCATACGTGGTCATGTGTTTGGTGACGAAACAAATTCCACAATCATTCTGGCTGTGAAAGGCACCACGGTAGCTATGTTTGAAGGCAACGGGACATCAGGCCATGACAAGGAAAACGACAACCTTTTCGGATCGTGTTGCTGTGCTCAGGGCGGTACATACCTCTGGAGAAAAGTATGTGACTGCCAGACGGGTACCTATACTTGCGACGACCAATGCGTCAGACACGAGTTGAGGAAGCCGAGCCGATACTACCAGGCGACTCTCGAACTTTATGAAGAAGTCACCAAGCTTTACCCTGACGCGAACATCATCACGACAGGGCACAGCTTGGGCGGTGTGCTTGCCTCACTGATTGGCTTGCAACATGGTGTCCCTGCCATCACATTTGAGGCCTATCCACAAGCGCTTGCTGCAAAACGCCTTGGACTCCCAGCAGCAGGAGATGTTGCGCCGCTCAGGAAAAACACTGGAGGCTTTCACTTTGGACACACTGCTGATCCTGTGTACATGGGCACTTGCAATGGAGCTTCTAGTTTTTGCTCGATTGGAGGCTACGCTTTTGAGACGTTGTGCCATACCGGCAAGCGATGTGCGTACGACGTGGTCAAAGACTGGGGATGGAGGCAAAGCACCTCGACGCACAGTCTTCGATATGCAATCGACAATGTCTACAAAAAGTACGAGGAGGCTGCCAAGTGTGTGGACGAAGATGTCGGGTGTGTCGATTGTATATTGTGGAAGTATGAAAACGGTACACACACCAAGCCGACGACCACGTCAACCGCAACAAGCGCAACCTCGACCAGGACACGCACAGAAACCTGCAAGACTCCTGGGTGGTGGGGATGTCGTGATGAGAGCACTACAATGACCACGACAACAACAAGTTCATCAAGGACAACCTCGAGCACCACCACGTGCCACACAGTAAGTCCAGGTTGAAACATGGCTTTGTAAACGCAGTGACTAACACGTGACTGCACAGCCCGGCTGGTTTGGTTGCAAAGATCAAACAACTGCAACGACGACTACGTCTTCGACTCTGCCCACGACAACCACCTGCACAAGCAAAGGCTGGTTCGGAAGGTGTCAGGATGAGACCTCCGTCACCACCACTCCAGCAGCTGCAGGCCACGCAAATTGGCGCACGCCTCCTGTTGCCACACAAACTGCTCCATAGACTGAATAGACTTTGTTCTTGTTGCCAATTTATTCATGCCCATCATCTCCTCCATTGACATGACCCTCTAACCCATATACATGCACACACGCAGTTGAAATAAAGTACATGCACCCGTCTCAAACATGGACAATTCACGCGAAAAAAAAGAACCCCCCAACGCGCGCACAAAGCATGCTCATGTGCGGGGATATTAGCGCATTCGCATGCTCCATGGAATCCACACCGCGCATAAACATGGCTGCATAAACACGCATCCTTGACTCCCACAGTTTGTTTCTCTTCTGCGCAGCGCCCCCCCCCCCCTCTTACTGCAGTGTCCCAGCACGAACGCATGATACCGCCAATGTCCGGGTGCCGACCGACTTTGTTTCTTGTTTCGAGGCCGGGGTGGTGGTAGTGTCAGGGGTGTGAAACGGACGGGGGAGGGGGTTGTGTTGGTGTTGGTTGGGATGGGATGGGATGGAGTAAGATGAGGTAAGGTGGGATGAGGTTGCGGGTTTTTTAAAGTATAAGAGTGAGGACATGGTGTATGGTTTTATTTGTAGTTATGTGGTATGGTATGATATGATATGATGTGGCATAACATGTAACTGTGTCCGTATTCTCTCTCTTTTGCTTTCTCCCATTGCGCTTGTGGATTTCACGGCGAGTATCTGGATAACCCTGGAAAGCCGGGGATGCTGCTGGC